ACCTCCTCTTGATTTTCAGACTGGACATACCGATTCACATGTGTTTTCTTTTTTCCTTTAGGACTAATAGACTACAATTTCCACTGCTTCCGCAAGGCCATACATGAAGTGTTTGAAGTGAGAATGAAAGTAGTCAAAACTCAAAAGAATCAGAACCAAGTACAGAAGAATAAAAGGGCCACACATAATGGCACACCTAGAATGCCACTGTAATTGAACTCTTAATGTCCACTGGTAGCACCTGAGGCCTATTATTTGCTGTAATGTTATCAGTTTTGAGAACCAGCAGGCAAATGGGACTGGTGTACTCTTCAGTTGGAATTTTCCACACTAGCCACTCCTCAAAACACTGTAAATCATATTCTGTGTTCATGTTAAGGACAGACCTGTTTTGCACTTTTGCCTGATTTCATGATGAAAATGGACTTTTGATAAACAAAATGTTACTTTTTATGTATAGTCTTGAGTAGAATATATATCATAGTACGCCTACATGCTGCACACAAATGAACAATCAAGAAAACGTGGTAAGATGAGACTTTTTAACATTGTGAATATCTATTTTCCATCTTGTAAGTTGGAAATTAAAAGTACAGTACAATAGCAATAAAAACATTTGTGTCCTTACTGGTACACTAATATTTTTTTAAAAAAAAAAATCTTTGAAATTGAGTATCTCCCCAATCATTCCATAAATTTGGGGAGGGGGGGGAATCCTCTTTATTCTTTACATTGTCTCTACATAAAAGTAACTTAATGACTCCAAAAGAGAAATGTCCAGTCCCTTTTAAATCTGAGATTGAGTGACATTGTTTACTCCTGAGAGTTACATCATATACTATAAAGTGTATACTAACAAGGCAGGAGATCTAGATTCTAGAGGAGGGGTGTCAAACTCAAGGCCCAGGAGCTGGAGCCGGCCTACCGGGTGCTTAGATCTGGCCCGTAGGGCCGCCCTAGAAATAGCAAAGGACTGGCCTCTGGTGCCTCTGCCTAGTGAAAACTGAGCTTGGAAAGGCTGCAGGCAGCCCTCCAGAGCTCTGTTTTTGCTTGGAGAGTGTTTCAGGAGGCCGTCACAGCCAAACACAGAGCTCGGGAGCCTGTTTTTGCTGGCAGAGTGCTCGGGCCACCACAGGTTCCCCCCCACCCACAAGTGATGTTGACCTAACCACATCCACTCTGGCCACGCCCACCCTGGCCCCCAAGGTCAAACACGACCCTGATGCAGCCCTCAATGGAATCGAGTCTGACACCCCTGTTCTAGAGGGATCCTGCCTTTAATTGCAAGATTGGTGCGCTAGAAAACACCAGTAATTTGTAGAAATACTAATTGGTAATAACCAGCATTGAAAAATTGGAGAGTTGACTTTTTCTTGGAACATTTCTGAGAATTCCAGAAGCTGTTTGCAGTATTCCAGAAAGGATGTTTCATATGAAACATCTTGGCTGGAACACCTGAAACCATTTTCAGTGTGGATGATTTACTTCTGGAAACTACCTATTCATTCCTTGAATGGCATAGTTCAAAGAGACACTGAATATTTTGAACTGATGGATTTTGCATATGCTTGCTAGAATTCTGGTAAACAGTAGTATATTATAACGTTATAAGGATCTGAAGACATACTTGTTTTGAGTTAAAAAATAACAATGCCTACTATCATAGGATTCTCTCTAGTTTTGCTTATCAATATATACAACAGACATTTTGTTTGTTTGAAAAGTATATCAATTTCTTCTGGTTTTCTTCACACCAGAAACATGATTGGGCAATTAAGGATAGCTTGTTCTTTCCAGTTAATGAAATTAAAAATGAAAAACAAACTTAAAGGAAATCATCCATCTGGAACCAAAGCTTTTGAAAAGCAAGAGATTATTCAGGATGTATGCCATTTTCTCTCTTGCTCTTGTAAAATTGTTTCTAGTTTTTCCAAAGAATGGATTTAAAATGTTAGTATAGTATTTGAAATGCTCATGGTTATAAATTGAGGTGTACATGCAATATTCAATTTTACAATCATTTTTTTTTCATTATTATGTTACAATCATTGAAAGTGACCCACTAGAGACTGCTAATATAGTAAAAAAAGTACCTTAACAGTAAAATTTCAGGGAAAGATACAAAGTTAGGTCATTAGTTATTCAAGTCTCACTTTTTGTAAAGATCCCCCCCATAATCTTCTACTTTTTAAATTCTGATTTGAATGATTAACCCATTTGAATTATATAAAGGTATTTTTCCTCTGGTAGCATGTGCCTATGCATATGTACGTGTGTACAGACAAACTCGTATTCATACAAAAAAATAGAGCTACAAATTGCCTAAGAATTGTAATATTATCTGTGTTGAACAAAGCAAGTATCTCAAGATCTGCTCATCTGAAATAAATTTTCTCAATTCAATGACAAGCCTAACTCATGGATATGTATCTGAAGGTCAGTACTACACAGGCTAGGGCTAGGCCTTATGGAATGAGGAAGTCAGCAATCTATCTGCCATTCTATCATTCAAATTCAGTTCAGCCAAGAAAAGAGTACAGTACTCGAATGATATCTGGGGGCATTCAGGCAGCATTTAGTGATCTAAACTCCAATGATATGAGCAGAGAACTGCTACACAATTTGCACAACCCAAAATGAATTTACTTAATTGATTAGAATCAAGTAGTCCACAATTCAACAGTTACAATTCTAACATTGCCAGAGGGGAGAGCTGTTTCTCTACTTCTAGCAGTGCCTTGCTTCATTCATATTCAGAAGAGAATCTATACAAAGTGGGGGTGGGGGATAATAGGCCATTTTTCTGTCAACTGTTCTCCCTGAGTCTGGATTTATTTCTATGGTTGGTTGAGGAGCTTTTATTCTACTTCAACCATATGATTCCAAGTGGTGTATAGCTGTACCCCCAGTGTCTGCAATGTACAATATTACAGCAAATACAAGAAATTCTAATACGTAATTGCATTTCATGCAATCAGACGAATGGTGCTATTGCTCATGACAAATGCAACCTTTCCATTGCCAAAGTTCCAACAGCTTCTTAAATACTAGGAATATGCCAGCCTTATATCTAGTGAATATTCCACAAATGGGGAGTTTCTAAGGGAAAAAAATTGGTCATATCTCTTCATATGACCAATTGTGAACCGTCACAGTTCACAAAAGATAGGAGTCTCAGTAAGCACTCTGCGGGCACACCTTGAGCCTTCAGTTTCAGGATGGAATAAAAGGATGCAGGGTCCAAGCTATTGATGGGCTGGCTGCTAAAACAAAGCAAGGTTATGGCATACACTTGAAAGGAGACCCAGGAAGCCTGTAATTGTGGTCTGTCTGGCAAGAACAAAAAGAATGTTTATTCACAGAGAATATGCACATGTAACACTTGTAGCAATTCTAGAAGACTGATAAAATGGTAACAAAGAGACATCTTGCCTAGCTCAGCTAAAAGTTAGGAATAGAGATAGCAGCAAATAGAATGTGTATTAGATAACTCCTGAAGCATTCATTAGGCAAGATTTAGCAATAGGCACGGCTAGACCAATAGTACAAATTGTTAGTTCATTACTAAAATGTTTTATTAGATGATATTTCTTATTATCCCCGCTTGTCCCGCCTTCTGCTTTAGCAGAAATGTATAAAGCTTTCTTAATCCTTTGTCCTGGGTTCTTAGCATTTTGGGACCCCTTTTATTATTATTTATTTATTTATTTATTCAATTTATATGCCGCCTTTCTCTGGAGACTCAGGGCGGTTTGGAGCGCTCCAATAAAAAGGAAATGAAACCTTCACCTCGTCTGGTGTCCTTCATCGGCCTCAGCACCAGGCTCGGATCCAAATTGGGGACCACACTATGTTGGATTTTAAAGAGGGTAACCAACCTGGAAGCCAACTGGCAAGCAACATAACTCTGATAGTGTTGGTATTTTGGGACATCAGAAATTCTAACTAAAAAAGCTGGAGCAAAGCACCGTGTGACCTGCTACATGCAGTACGTCTAAAAAGAATTGTGCTTGGGTTCACGCATGACACTTAGTAATAAGTCATGGTTTGCAAACTGCAATTGTGGTACTTAACAAAAGCAAACACATTATGTACTGTTTTATAGAGATTCTTAGTCATCCAGGTCATGGTTGTCCCAAAGGTGCTTTTTCAGGAGGCAACTGGACTTCCTTGTTTTTTCTTTGAAGACGTTTCACTTCTCATCCAAGAAGCTTTTTCAGCTCTGTCACAGGATAGTGGGGAATGGAAAGATTTATATTCCTTGCAGACAGCTGGTCATTTGCATCCTTTTAGAGCAGTGGTTCTCAACCTTCCTAATGCCGCGATCCTTTTATACAGTTCCTTATGTTGTGGTGACCCCCAACCATAAAATTATTCCTAAATCCATTGAAAATATGTGTTTTCCGATGGTCTTAGGCGACCCTCGTGAAAGGGTCATTCGACCCCCAAAGGGGTCGCAACCCACAGGTTGAGAACCACTGTTTTAGCATTTGAAAGTTTATCGGTGTCCTCAGACTACAGGAACCAGGAGCACTACTCAGATGACCCTGAGCCTGAGGACACAGCTAAACCTCCAAATACTTTAAGGACCCTCTAAAAGGATGCAGCTGGTCAAGATGTCTGCAAGGAATATAAATCCTTCCATTCCCCACTATCCTGTCAGAAGTGAAGAAGCTTCTTGGATGAGAAGCGAAACGTCTTCAAAGAAAAAACAGGAAAGTCCAGTTGCCTCCTGAAAAAGCACCTTTGGGATGCACCTGTTTTGGGTTCTGTATGAAGGAAACAACAGGACCTAAGCAAAATAACCTTGCTGAGAGAGGCTACAGTATTCTGTTTCTTTAAATTAGTTACATGGAAACCAAATAGAGAAGAGAGCCATTAAGGGCTGCAGTGCAGCCACGTCAGGGGAAGTTCCGGGCGGCAGCAAAGCTTACGAGACGGCCGGGAAGAAGCGAGGGAGGGAGGGAGGGAGGGAGGGAGTGGGGAGGGAGCCTGGTCACTTCCCTCCTCTCGCCTCGACGCCGCTGCTGCCGGCGGCGTTGTTGTCACTGCGAAGCGCCTTACGTGGCCGGACTTCTGCGCTGCGCTCCGCCCGGCCCGGCGGAGGAGGAGGAAGGCATCCCAAGGCAGGCTCCGTCATGGAGGCTCGCTACAATCTCAAAAGCCCCGGTGAGTCGCCGAAGACAGGGGGAAGCGAAGGCGGGCAAGTGAAGCCGGGGGAGCGCGGAAGTCTTTTGCGGGAGGCAGCTTTGGTGGCTGACAGCGCCTGGGGCGGGGGAAAGCACCGCCAACGCGAGCCCGAGGCTTTGGTGCACGGCTAGGCCGGAGCCGGCGGGGCGGGCGGGCGGGCGGGGGGGCTCCGTCTCGCCTTTTGCATCGCTCCCGTTTGGTACTTGAAGGGGGGGGGCTCTTCTGAGCTCCGGTGGGCGCTGCTCCGGCTTTCCCCCCCCCCCCCATCAGGACCTTTCCTCCACCCAAGGGAGGAAATTTCGGTTTGTATTTCTGTCTCTGGCTGCCGAATTCCCTACAGAGGCAGGGAGAAGAGCCTGAGAACCCCGAAACCCATCGGGCGGATGATGGGAGGGGGAGCGGCACAAGGACTCTTAGTTTCGTTCTTGTATCTAACTTCTGTTATTGCTGTCATGAATATGTATATAATATTCATTCTCTCTCTCTCTCTCTCTCTCTCTTTCTCTCTCTCTCTCTCTCTCTCTCTCTCACACACACACACCATATCTTAAAAGACATATTTTAGAGAACCTTTAAAATTAAAGGCATGATTACACAATATTGCACTATCAATTCCACTGCCAAATGTAGAGGATATTAATTGAGTGGATAGGCTTATATTCGATGGGGCATGTACAATTGATTCAGGGTTGGGTTTTTTTTTTTTTTTAATAAGTGTTGTCAAAAGATAAGCCAGCCCGAAGTAAGGTTTCATGCAGATGTAAAATTTCTGGATGATTATGGTGGTGTTTTTCATTGTTGACTTGAAGAATTGCAGTGTCATGTTTAGGATATCTTCCTACTAAGTATTTTATTTCAGGGAAGTCCAATTGATATTGTGTAAGAGATTATTTAAATGTACTTTGACTTTAGTGTTATCTATCTTCTCTTCCCCTTCTTCCCTGCTCCCTCTCCTTTTTAGTACCCTGAAGACACAAGGACAGATGGTACATCCAGAACTTATGAATATTTCAGCTATTCAGTTTCCTTTTTTGAACTCTTCTATAAAATATAATATGCAACAATGACATCACTTCTCTGCAACAAAAACTGTCGTGATAGGACAGATAGAAATCAGATCTGGCAGATTAAGAATTGTCTCAGGAGAATATGTGTTCAGATTTTATTTGCTAGAAGAGTGACCATTGCTTTTTATGCCTCTCTGTCCTCTTCAGAATAAATGTTACCATATGACTATGCATTCACAGAAAAATATTCCATCTGCTCTGAGTAGAAAAGCAAAAATAGTCTTAAAAGAAAAGGAGAAAAATATATAAAGCCAAGATGCTGTTATCAAGAATGAAAGTTACCATAATTATCGCTGCCTACTATCATTTTCCAACTAGAGCTACCCATGTTAAAGGTGCACTGTAGTATGCCTGTCTGATAATAGCATCAGATATTAATTGTGCATAGGAATAACCTCCACTAATTGTTATACATCTAGCCAAGTTGGAAAGGTAGAATTTGATTAGCCCTCACAGTGTTACGCACTATCCATAAAAGTGAAGGAAGTCCACACTCCCACAAATGTAATGTTAAAAAGGAAAGGTAACTCAGTTAGCTATAGTAATAGAGCCAGTTTGGACTAGTGCACGAGTGTCAAACTCACCGCATCACATTGCCGTCACATGACGTTTTGCGATGTTTTTCCCAGTCCTGCAGTGGGCAGGTGGGGCCAGCATGTGACGCATCTGACACCCCTGGTCTAGTGGTTAAGGCTCTAGCCTAGAAACCAGGAAACTGTTCTAGTTCCACCTTAGGCATGAAAGCCAGTTGGGTGACTTTGGGCCCATGCCCCTCTCAGCCCAACCCACCTCACAGGGTGGTTCTTCTGGGAAAAATACAAGGAGGAAGGAGTGCTACCGTAGATATGCTTGCATCTTAAGTTATTAAATAATAAAGGTGTGATATAAATAATAAGTTATGTTACACAGATACAAACAGATCAAACCTGTTTTATTTTTTTAAAAAAACAGGAAAGTATATAAACTACTTATTTGCACTTACACTAAAGTACAGATAAGAGTGATGGAAGTGCAAGAAAATTTATTTTCTTACTATATAATGCAGAATTGCTTCTATCAGGCCTGTCTTGACTGATAAGGCAAAAACATCAAGAGATTTCCAAAGGGATAAAAGCTTGGATAACTAGATTTATTATAGAAAATATATGAAGCCACACCAAGAGAATGTCAGTGATTGCTGTATATCAGATGTGCTACCTATTATACTGAAATTAAAGTTAAAATCATTGTGCTTCTTTCTTCTGAGTGATGCAGCAGGCTAGAGATCTTTGTCTTTTGAGCTTGGTTTCCATGTCTTTTGTTTGAGAACGAGTAGATACGACAACAGGCTGTTTACATTAAACAAGAGCAAAACATGTTTTGCTAACTTTTTTTAATAGGCATTTGTTTGAGAAAGACTTTGTAGCTACCCAGGAAAAAAAACTGAAGGTCACAGTGCATAGCTGAATGCACAACGATGATGAAAAAGAGGAAATTCTATTTTAGGCCTTTATGAAAAAGATTGAAAATAAAACTAAAACCTTTGTAATGTTCTTCTACAAATTTATGGAATTTCGTATCTAGAATACTATGTACAATACTGGCCACCACATTTGTAACGGAATTAGAAAAAGGGCAAAAGAGGGTGTCAGAATATCAGCTTGAGCATTTTGTTTAGAAGAAAAAGCTAGAACATTTGGGACTCTCTAGTTTTGAAAGAAAGTGACTAGAGGGACATGATAGAGATGTATGAAGGCATGAGGAAATTGGACAGGGAAACATTTTTCTCTCTTTCTTGAAACCCTGATCATCCAGTGAAGTTGCCTGGAAAATTTAAAACAGACGAATATACTTTTTCACACAGTGCATTAACTTGTGGAAGTCATTGTCACAAGATATGGTGATAATGTAGAACATGAGTGTCTTAACCTTTTGGTTTGCCTGGGCCGCATTAAGTAAAGAGGAATTGTCTTGGGCCACATATAAAATATAAATAGTAAAATTAATATATATAAATCACATAATGTTAAAAGTTTACGATCTTGTGGAGCTGCATTATCAGCTGCCCAGGACCGCATGCAGCCCATGGGTTGGACACCTGATGTAGAAAGTAAAAGGATGGTCTTAATGAGAAGCTCCATTATCAAGGCAGCAAGTAGGTAAACATTGCAAAAACCCAGATAAGGATGGAGAGTTACAAAACCATCTTAGAAGAGCACTCATTCATATGAATATAAAAGATGGAGGAGGGGAAATACATTCAGACTTGCAAGCGTGTGACAAAATAAAAAATAAAAAAATAAAAAATCTTATTTTTTTTAAAAAAATTGGGTTATAGCATCTATTTCTTAATCTGGTCTATGTTGCATTACCATTTATTGCCTTACTTAAGTAAATGTTTAGAGTCAATACGGCTAAGATCCAAAGAACAGTGTCATTAGTTTTTTGTATTCAGGGAACTTTGAACAGGTGTTTCTCATGCCACATTTTAACCCTGTCCTGAAACCGGGGGACTTTCATTGTGTAAATACCAAATCAAGTTTGTGGTTGTTATGCCGAAGCTTTTAGATATACACTAACCAAAACCAGCTTATCTTGTACAGTTACAAGGGAAAGAAATCCTCAATAAAATGTGATGATCCATTAATACAACTTTTTAATAAATAAAAATATATTATTAAAATAAACCTAAAATAATATGTAGAAAATTAAAAGACTAGAGAAGGTGGACAAGAAAGGCACTTGGTAGCAATTTGGAAAACCAAAATTCAGAAATGAATTAGATGATGAAGAAATGTCATAGAGACCACAGCCATTAAACATCATTAGACCTGTTGTACACACCTCGGCTTTATTGCTCTTGTCTTCCATCTTCCCTCTAATTTCTTTTTTAATTCTCCTGAAATAACCTTTTTCTCCTGCTGCATGTTTCTTTAGGATTAAGTTAACACCGCAGAGCCTTCTATGTTGAATGTTTACCATGGCATAGTCATGGGGGAGAAAAGGGGTTTCCAACATTGCAACTGAAGTCCCACCATTTTGTGTGCCTTGTCTTGTGCACACCATAAAGACTCGAGCTTGTACCATAATGCCACAATAAAATGATGAAAGTAGCAGGACCTTGCGGATGCCAGTGAATGTTGATTAATCAAATCTACTGATTCTCCTAAAAATTGGGGGGGATACCAATTCAACTCTAGGTTTGACCAACAGCAAAGGTGATATCCCTAGAATCCCTGAAAATGGGAACCAAATTATATATTTTGATGTGCTTGGAAGGGAAGATTATTAAATACATGAATAGGAAAAATATATTACTATGGTTAATGTTAAGTAAATGAAAAATAAGTGTAATCAAACCTAACTTGTGTCCTGATTAACTAGTGCTTCTGAATATGCAGCTGCCTGAATGTCATTCCAAATCCAAGTAATTTTCTTGGTTAAAAAGTTTCATGCATTTGAGATTTTAGCTACAATTTTTCCTAGTCTATGCATATGGATTTTTGAGACTAGAGCTTGCATTATGTTTTAGTGGTGTAGTAGTAAGATATCAGACTAGAAACCCAGAGACTGAGTTCTCGCCCCGCCTTTGGCAGGAAACCAAGAGAGTGACTTTGGGCCCTTGTTTCTGTTTCTGTTTCTCTCTCTCCACCCCCCCACTTCCCATTCTCTCTTTCACACACACACCAGTAGGAAGGAGGTAATGCAAACCACTTCTGAAAAAAGTTTGCCAAGAAAACTTCAGGAACTTATTCAGATAGTTGCCCAAAGTAAAAACCTGACTTGAACACACCCCTAAAAACCATAAAAATATTACTTTATTTCTTGTAGGCTATATAAATTTTGATATGACCAAAATAAGGCCCATTGATTTTTACCTTATTAAATTTATATATGTCAATTTATAATTTGCATGTTTATATATGGTATACATGGATAAATAAGTATAGTATTAAATTTGAAGTTAAGGGGTTTTTTTTGGTTTTTTTTTGCAATATGTGGCATTGTTAATGTTTATTGTGGGAATTTTAAAATTATTTTTACTGTACCATACTATTACAAATAATGGGTATATTTGTAATGTTACAGTACTTGCTCCTAGAGTTCGAATTACCTTGATAAGGGTAATTCTTGAGAAACTTTTACACAAATCGTTGCCAAGAGTTGAAAATGCAAAGTCTTCAGGTTTATTTTAAAAGCCTATGTCTTCTATTTAGTATAATTTTTGACTGTCTATTAATGTCTGTTAATGTTCTGTTTCATAATCTAGATGAAGAACAAAGTGTTTTAATCCAGCAGGTGGCAATCTCTCATCTGAGGACAAGGCATTATGATTTTTATGATTTGCATAATTTGTATAATGTGAAAAGCAAGCTCACTCAAAAATTCCTTTTACCCTTGCAGGAATAACTACCGGTAATAGCAAGCTGTTTTTATTAAAAGTACAATTAGTCCTCTACCTGCAACCATTTGTTTAATGACCATTCAAAGTTATAATGGTCCTGAAAAAAGTACCATATGACCGATTTTCACATATATGACCATTGCAGCATCCACATAATTAAAATTTAAGTGTTTGGCAACTGGCATGTATTTATGACAGTTGCACTATCCCAGGGTCATGTGACCATCATTTGTAACCTTCCCAGTTGGCTTCCTACAAGCAAAATCAGTGGGGGTAAGCCAGATTCATTTAACAACCACATGATTCACTTAATAACAGCAGTGACTTGCTTACCGGTGGCAAAAAAGTCATATAAATGAGGCACTTCATTTAACAATTGTCTTCCTTAGCAACCAAAACTTTGGGTTCAATTGTAAATCAAGGATGACCTGTATTTTAATTCTGATTACTTGGAGTTCCTTGAAAAGACAGTCTCCTTTAGATTGGTTTTGATTCCTGGTCTAAACGCATCTGTGCAGGTTTTTTGGCAACAGTATGGTTTGTTATTACCTTCTTCTGGAATATTCTGGAATATTTTTGTGATTTCCCAGTTTAGCCTATAGTCCTCATTCAAGTATTAACTAAATCTGATCTTCTTAGTTTGAACCTAGAATGGTTTAGTCAGTCATGGGCACTTCCTAAGACAAAACTCCTGTATGCTTTTTCAAATATTGTGTCAATTTCTTTGATTAATAACTGACCCCAGTGAACTTCAATTGTACCTGAGAAGTATTTGAGCCAAGATCTAAATAGAACTAACAAAAATATGTTTGCATAGTTATGGTGAGGATTCATTAAGCTTAGCTTTTCTTTCCAGATTCACCCCAGCATTTCTCAAAGACTTCTCCATAAACCCTGTCCCCAAAGATTGGGAAGCAATTACATTCAGTTTAGTTGTTGTATGTATCATTTCCCAAAAAGAAAAGTTTGATAATTCCTTTGTGCGTCTTTTTCTTAGTAATACAAGGAGTGCTTGGGATTCTAATTCATGTGACAGAACATCAGTTTTATTCCATTACTTCATGCTGAATATGTGATTCACCTCTCTCCTTCCCTTCCTTTTTCATTTACAACAATTAAAAATAGCAAACTTGGAAACATCAAAATGTTTCCTTTGTAGATTAGTCTGAATCCAATTACTGAAACAAAAACTTCCAAATTACATTTGTTTTCAGATGTTCTCTTTCTAAACATGACATTTGAGAGACAAATGTACATTTTGGAACTTCCTTTATCATTAAGTGTTGGGAATAAGTTTTGATGTGCTCAGCCAATAGTTAATACGGTAATACTTCACATAGTCATATACTGTTTGTTTTTTTTCCAGCTGTAAAACGTTTAATGAAAGAAGCTGCTGAACTGAAAGAGGCAACAGATCATTATCATGCCCAGCCTTTAGAGGTTAGTGGATGCCCATTTTGTATGAAATTCATGGCTAAGGGATTTGGAGAAATTAAATTTAGAGAATTAAAAGGAGGCAAGCATGGATGTTCTGCCTCTGAACCTCTTTTTAGTGCCCTCTCCCCATCATCTTCAATCATAATTGTCAAAAATCAGCACGGCTGCTAACCATTTCTGATGGAAAGTAAACAGATATATGCCCTAAGAAAGGCTTATGGTAGTTTAAAAAAAAATAAAACACTCAATGTTCTGCCCAGCACAGGGGGAAATCCTGACCTCACCTATGATATGTACAATATTCACTTTTATTGGTAACTATTGATAGCTTTGCTGCCCCAACCAATTTTGAGTATGACCCTTAAAGAGGTAGACCTAGAAAACAATGGTACAGATAGACCTCATTGAACAACTGCCCTGTTTAGCAATCATTTGAAGTTATGTCAGAGCTGAAAATGTAGTTTTATGACCGTCATCCTATTTTCATCCATCATAGCATCTCATGGTCATGTGATTGCAATTTTCATGCCTTATAACTGGCTTCCAACAAGCAAGAGTCAACAGAGAAACTGGCAATAAAATTGGAAGACATGATCATGTCTTGCTTAACAATCTGCGGTGACTTGTTTAGCAACTGAGTGGGACTATTAAGTTGGGGTGGTAAGTCAGATTGTTGATTCAAGGAAATAAACTTTAATATGCCAGTTATGGCCTATTGAACCATAATGATGGCAGTCAGGGAAATGTTACTTCAAATTTAATTTAATGTATTTTTCAGTGAGAGTGATTGGCTGTTTATATTTCCATTTTTTCTTTTGTAGGACAATCTTTTTGAGTGGCATTTCACTGTAAGAGGTCCTCCAGATTCAGAGTTTGATGGAGGAGTTTATCATGGAAGAATAGTGCTACCACCAGAATATCCTATGAAACCACCAAGTATTATTCTCTTAACGGTAACAAATTTCAGGTGTCAGCTAGAAAACTACAAATGCTTTGTTAGATTATTAGATCATTGTTAAAAGTCTCAATTACTTACTATGTAAAATAATTTTAAGAAAAAAAATTAAGTAATTGTTTTTTCTAACCTTTCACTGTCAACACACAGCCATTAAATTACACTGGATTTTTAGGATTAAGCTATAATCATTTTTTATTTTTTATTTTTTTGCTTTAATTTATATGTCGCCCTTCTCCGGAGACTCAGGGCGGCTTACAATGCGTTAAGCAATAGCCTTCATACTTTTATATATTTATACAAATTCAAAGATTTCTATCCCCTTAATAATTCTGCTACTAAGTAGGAATCCTAATATTTTTCTCATGACCATAAACTCTGGCAACACTGGTGGAGAAAGGAAAGTTTTGATGAGGAACTGAGGTTTGGGAGCAAGGAGACTGAATTTTGGGGATAGAGAAGTAATTTATTTTTTTAATTTGATTTATATGCTGCCCTTCTCCGGAGACTCAGGGCGGCTTACAATGCGTTAAGCAATAGCCTTCATACTTTTGTATATTTATACAAAGTCAGCTTATTGGCCCCACAATCTGGGTCCTCATTTTACCTACCTTAGAAAGGATGGAGGGCTGAGTCAACCTTGAGCCTGGTGAGATTCGAACTTGCAGTAATTGCAGACAGCTGGTGTTAATCACAATGCTTTTAGTCTGCTGAGCCACCAGGCTCACTTTTTGCCCTCCCTTGTATGATATCCACTGCATCAGGCATGGTTCACAACAATGACACACCTATAAAATCTTTCAGTCATAAAATCACCATGAAATACAGGGTCATGTTAGCAGTTATCTGCTCTTTTATGCAGGAAGAATTGGAAATGTTTGAAGAATGGATGGGGCACGGTTGCTTTCGCATGCAAAGGAAAAATAAATTTAAAATTTTTGGAAATGATTATCAGCAGCAAGTGGTATTTGGGAATATTCCAGTTGTCTCCTTTTTATTGGTATTGAGAGCTTTACTACATTAAAATGATAAACAGATTAAAATAATAAACAGATCAATTATTTAGGAAATCATAAGTAGTTTTTTATTCATGTATGCTGGAAAAGCAGTTTTAGCTTTCTCCTTCACTCTGCCAATGGGACTGCTCACTCAAAACTTTTCCACACCAGCCCTTGATAGCAGCCAGGTCAGCTCATCAAGATTGTGACAACACAGCTGCCTTTTAAGGCCACAACTGAGCTGCTTTTTTCCCGCTTTTCTGTCATTCCATATCTGGCTCACTTCAGCAAAACCACAACCATGACACACCTCAAATCCTTATGCCACACAGTGAGTAATGCTAAATCTTAGTTTTTTTTAAAAAAAAAAAAGTTTGATGAAATGATTTTTTTGTCTTTTTAAGGCCAATGGTAGATTTGAAGTGGGAAAGAAAATTTGTTTAAGCATCTCAGGACATCATCCTGAAACATGGCAACCATCTTGGAGCAGTAAGTATCAACTGTATTGGCAGTGAGGAAAGTTTGATAAAGAAGCAAATCTCTGCTGTTAAAAAGACCATAGTACCTCAGTACAGCAGATTTTAAAATTTATTTTGTCTCCTTCTCTGTTTCTCTCTCTCTCTTCCTCCTCCTCTCTCTCTCTGAGTATGTGTATGTCTATATAATTGCTAATTAAAGTTATTTTTATTACAGTAAGGACTGCCTTGCTTGCTATTATTGGATTTATGCCAACAAAAGGAGAAGGAGCCATAGGATCTTTAGATTACACACCTGAAGAAAGAAGAGCATTGGCTAAGAAGTATGGGTTAAGTTTTGTGTGAAATAAACAGTTGTGCTCAGTTGTATTTCTGAATAAAAATGTTCTTGGATTTTGAAATTTTTCAGGCCTTTCAGTATCTGAGAGTATATTTTAAATCAAGATAGTGCCACCTTTTGAAAACTGCTTGTGAACATTGTGCTGTGGGTTATCTGTGAGAGGGCAGGGGGAAATGGCGTAGCAAAAGCCACATGTTCTTAGCCTTATCATTCTTTTTAGCCTAGATTGATTCCTCTCCTTTCAGCTTGCCTAGTTTTTAACCATTTATCCAAATCTTTTTGGGCAGGTGAGGGGCAGCATAAGAAATTTTGGGGCAGCACATATGATGCCTTTTTGTATAGACCACTAAGTATGATTTTCATTTTGAGAATTTCTGATAGAAAGAAAGCATCTCCTTTCCCCTTTAATTTCTGATAGAACATCTATTTTTTTCTAGAAATTTTTCAGCAGATTTTTATTCCAAATACCCACTGAGATTCCTCTTTTTCTGGACTTAGAAATTGTAAAGGTCTTAGATTGTAGTCACATTTAATCCCATGGTATCATAATACCAGAGGCTTCTACTGATGTGTGATAAGACCTGCTGTATTACTGATGCTTCTAGAACCACATATCACATTATCTATTTATCCTGCCATTAGGTTCTTCCCTATTTGTAATCTCAATTTTTTGTTGCTGTGGAATTAGGCATTTGATTCTCTTTTTGGCTCCATTATTAGCTTTTTCAAGAATCTTATATAGACAGTAACAACACTATATACTACTAAAGCTGTCTTGTCTTTAACTGGGCAAAACACTGCATCAATGAAAATTTAATTACCCTGTTTCCCCGAAAATAAGACATCCCCTGATAATAAGCCCAATCGGGCTTTTGAGCGCATGCGCTAAAATAAGCCTCTCCCCAAAAATAAGCTCTCCCCAGAAATATTTAAACCCGGAGCTGGAAATCAGGTAAGACGGCAAGAGGAGCCCCATCTTGCTCCACGCACCCCAAAATAATAAGACCTCCCCAAAAATAAGGCCAAACGCTTATTTCAGAGTTCAAAAACATATAAGACAGGGTCTTATTTTTGGGGAAACACGGTAGTAAAATGAATAGCCATCTGATCCTAATTTTTTTAAACTATCTGAATCTATTTGTCTGAGAAGACAAATAGACATGTTTGTTCTTTAATCATAATATTTTGTGATATTTTTTTCCTTTATAAAATGGAACTAGTTAATTACACAATATTCTTTATTTAGTCCACAGTGCTTAAGTCAAGAGCTTTGTTCAGTATAGCCTGGATTCAGAAAAAATGTGGTTTTCTGTGAGTAGACATTTTCCAGGAATGGAAAATTTACTAGGGTCAAAATTTTATGCAGAAAATGTTTACTTCAGATTGGTGTGGTGATTGCATGATGTTTGCTTATTAAACAATGGTTCTAAAAAATTTAAAGCCAAAAGTACATTGCATATCACTTTATTGCTTATTCCGTAACATTCTATCCAGTTCTATCCAACAAAGTATTTTTCCATATCAGAGTTTTTTATTTTTTTTAATGTAATTTTGAATATAATGTAATTCAAAATTCATAAAATAGGTTGGATTTTTTCACAGAAAACAATGTATTTTAAATATTTCTGCAGTCTATGAACTTTCAGAAAAGAATGACAATTCATATCACACTAGTTTGCATTACATTTTCTGGGAAACCCATAGCTAAACCTGTCCTTGGTACACATTGCTTGACTGTTTCTGTTTGCCTTTTCTTGACCATGGGAGCAGCTAACAAATCGTGCTCTGTGGTTTATTTTCCATGAAACATGAAGGAACATCCTTGGTTTTTCTTCCTAATCAAGTCAGGGCAAGCAATGACTTCTGACTCTATCTGGGTAGGAGAAGAAAAAAAGTAGATAAACAAGTCATAAAATAAATTTGTTTAGCTGTTTCTGTGGGTAAAAGGACCAGATGAGAAGGTTGATGGAGAAGTATTCTGGCTTACTTTGTCATGCAAATGCACTCATTAACTGGTCAGTCTTGTTTCAGAAGTAAATCCCCTTGAGTTGAGTTGAGTTGAGTTGAGTTGAGTTGAGTTTAGTTTAGTTTAGTTTAGTTTAGTTTAGTTTATTTGATTTATATACCGCCCTACTCCCGAAGGATTCAGGGCGGTGAACAGCCACAGGATAAAAACACATAAATACAAAATTTAAAACTGAATAAAACCGAATTAAACCATTTGGCCGAAGACAGATTTAAAACGCCCCAATAAATTAAGAATGAATTAAAATTTGCGTTTTAAAAAGGGAGAAAAGAGAAAAATTAGGCCAGGCCAGCCTGATGGAATAAAAAGGTCTTGAGAGCGCGGTGGAAGGTGCGTAGATCCGGGATCCTCCGTATCTCCGGGGGGAGCTCGTTCCAGATAGTAGGTGCCCCCACAGAGAAGGCTCTCCCCCTGGGGGCCGCCAGTCAACATTGTTTGGCTGACGGCACCTGGAGGAGCCCCTCTCTATGAGAGCGTACCGGCCGGTGGGAGGCTACTGGTAGCAGCAGGTGGTCCCGTAGATAACCAGGTCCTAAACCATGGAGCGCTCTAAAGGTGGTAACCAAGACCTTAAAGCACACACGGAAGACCACCGGGAGCCAGTGCAGTAGTATTGCCATTTTAATTTATTGTTTGTCATAATTAATTGACAATAATACCCTGTTATTCAGGTTGTGTTTATACTTCAAATAAACCAAGATTTGTTTACTATATGATTTGTTGAACAGTTAGAATATTGCAATTGATTGAAGCAATCATGACTTCATCCTGGGTTACTCTCCCTCCTATTTTACACCTTTGTAAATCAGTTAAAACTTAGCTGGGACACAAAACCAACCTAGATTAAGAGTTATTCTGATGTATGTAGATAAAATGTTGGCTGGCGGTTGGAAGGAAGGAAGGAAATGAGAGGGTTTCATCATTGAGCAGGTTGCAAAATTTATTAGAAATGGATTACTGTGCTTTAGAATATATTTTGTTGGATCTAATGTAATTCTGAATGACTCTTTAAAAGTAGAATTAAAGATGATGGCTTGTTTTCTACTCTTTTTACAATCTTAAACATCTGGGCATATAGTTATGCAACAGATGTATAAACAGAACTACTCTGGCAGTTGTCTGGGGAAAGATGTGATCTTCTGCCAGCTTGTGTATACTTCTGCATCCCCAATTAAGCCTTCACGAACACTCCACACATTTCACAGATAAGTCGTTTATCCAAGGTTAATGCTAAGCAAGGCTTAAAATTGCATGCAATATGTTATGTTGATGCTTGCTGATTGTTAAATTAATATATGGTCTGCCATTATTCCCTAGGTCTCAAGATTTCTATTGTGAAGGATGTGGCTCACTTATGAAAGAAGTCCTCTTACCATTAACTTCAGGGAGTGCCTCAAGCCAGGCTGACCAAGAAGCCAAGGAACTTGCCAGGCAAATCAATTTCAAAGTAAAATAACTATTTGTTCTTCTTTTCTCTTGATTATTTTGGTGCGTGGGACAATACCTAGGGTGGTGGATTAGTGCTGTCCAGCAGATAATACCAATCAAAGCAACATGGATTAAAGGGGAAAATGGCTCCTGAAAGTCATTGTTTTGTCTCCTTTTCACAGAATCCAAACTCTGCCTTCTTTCTTAGCTATGTTTGATTTAAAAATTGATACATCTAATGTGCTTGGTGAAATAGATCAGGTCCCACGCCCATAGCAGAATTTTAATTTTTCTTCATATTCCCCTTTTCTCTAAATTTATTCCAAATAATTCTCCAGTACTCAGGAGCAACTTGTAGCAGGTTTCAAGAAGGATAAGGAATCATACCCATTTCTCATTGTTATTGGAGTATTTGTCATGCATTTAATTTGATGCATCCTATTATTTTACAATTATAATACTGCTGAAAGGGTTGGGTGCCAATCTTTACAAAAAATAACTAATTACAATCCTGTGGTGAGACTAACTTGCAAAGCAGGATTTTTAAGTGTTGCTTTGGTTGCTTTTTTAAAAACAAATAGAACTTTGAGAAAAGTTAACATTTTTGAGTAGAATACCAGTGTGCCTTTAAGCATAGTAATAGCCATCATAAAATCCCTTGGTAACTTCAGAAGCAATATCTCCATTGTGTTTTAAATAATAAAAATAATGCAAACATGGCTATAGACCAGAACTTTATATGTGGCTGGAAATTCTGTTATTTTATTTAAAAAAATCTTGCAGCACTCTGGATGTAGAGCTGAAATCCTCCATATGATGTTTAGGGATGCAAGCATGTGGTGCTTGCTAGGTTTTGTATTACATGTGTGCATGCATATTCTGCAGAGTCTCCATGTCCCAGATAGACCTTATGACATTTCTGAGAAAATAAAAATGATGGGTGACCGCAGTTGAGTGGTTAGTTTTGAAGCGGATCCAGTTTTCTAGAAGAAAAAAGATAAATGGGAATAATAGAGGGCTTTTTGTAGTATGAAGACAGACTGGGGAGGATAGTTTGCATTCTGGAAATAGGTGCATTATGGGGCGCGATGGCTCAATGGTTAAAGATGCTGAGCTTTGTCAGCTGGAAAGCTGACAGCCCGGGTTCAAGACCTGAGTGCTGGGCAACGGAGTAAGCTCCTGTTCCTTGCCCCACCTACTTCCCACCTAGCAGTTTGAAAGCATGCAAATGTGAGTAGATAAATAGGTACCATTTCTGTGGGAAGGTAACAGTGTTCCATGCATTTTTGGCACTTAGTCATACTAGCCACATGACCACAGAAAATGTCTTCAGACAATGCTGATTCCCTCGGCCAAGAAATGAAGCTGAGCACCATGGTCTAGAGTCGGGCACCACTGGACAGGGACACCTTTACCTTTACTTTAACTGGTTATATTTATAAGTGAACATGCCCCTTTCCATCCCCAGCAGCTATTATACAAGAGAAAACACAGCAGGTTCTCAAAGTCAATAATGCTGCAAGCAATTCAGAGAGGTGAGGGTTACTGGAATAATGTTTTCTTCCCATAAGAATGGAAAGCCATTCTGTGGACTGATCTGGCATTCAGTTGGAGTTCATCTCATTGCCACCTAGCATCGTTTATATTTTATGGATATGCTTTTTTTTGTTTGTTTGTTTGCTCTTCGGGAATTTAATAAACTAAAAACAAAAAGGGACAACTTGATTTTCTTTCTGTGTCATATTTCAGTCAATCATCTATTCCAGAATTGCTTGCCTTGTTTAATAACATGTTCTCCTAAATTTAACAAGGTGCCTAAGCAGAGATATACCTTTTACAAAGTGTTCAATAATTTTGCAAGAAAAATGTATTACATAACATCTGTTCCCATAATTGATTAGAATTTCAGTGTCCCTTTGATGTAATAATTTATGGTGTTTTCTCATTTTGCTTAAGGCTGAAGGTAATGCATCTAGAAAATCTGTTACTGAACCTTTAGATATGTCAGAATTTAATCACCTTGGGAATTCCTCTGAACATCAACAAGAAATTACAACTCCAGCATTCCAGGATACCATCACCAGTGAAATGGTGGGTACTTTATAAATGAGGCACAATCTTGGAAAAGACAAGTTAATACTGCTTAGGTGCAACTAGAAACCTATTTAAATACAGATAGTTCTCAAATTACAACAGTTCATTTAGTGACCCTTCATGGTTACAACGGTTCTGAAAAAAGTGATTTATGACCGTTTTTCACATTTATAACAGTTGCACCATCCCCAAAGTCACGTGATCGGATACTTGGTAACTGACTCATATTTATGACCGTTGCAGTGTCCTGGAGTCAAAAAGTGACCACTGTCAAGCAAAGTTAATGAGGAAGTCAGATTCACGTAACAACTGTGTTACTAACTTAACAACTGCAGTGATTCACTTAACAACTGTGGCAAGAAAAGTCGTGAAAAGGGGTAAAATTCCCTTAACAACTGTCTCGCTTAATGACAGAAATTTTGGGTTCAGTTGTGGTTGTAAGTCTAAGACTGTACATGTTAACATTTGATTAAAAGCAGCGGCATCCATGGGAGTGGATCAATTATGTCGAAATGACAGGCATGACTGGACAATCAAACTCTTGCCCCTTTTCAACATCTATTTCACACGTGTAAAAAGAGAGAGGCCTTCAGTTGCTCTGTTGCATCTACCATTTTGACATTATTGGCCCTCCCAATAGCATTTATTTATTTATTTATTTATTTATTTATTTATTTATTTATTTATTTATTTTTATATGCCGCCCTTCTCCGGAGACTCAGGGCGGCTTACAATGTGTTAAGCAATAGCCTTCATACTTTTGTATATTTTATACAAAGTCACCTTATTGCCCCCACAAACCGGGTCCTCATTAAATTAAAACCACTGAGGTTTTTTGCACGTCCCATGGTCTTTTCTGACTCTTATGGGCATCTAAAAGTACAAGCCATTGAATTTATTGCAGCTTGCTTCTGAAGGTATTGTTTGTAAATATTTGCCTTCAGCTTCTTTGTCATCAGCTGTAGTTCCCCATTACTTTTTCTTCCAACTTCCCTATCACTTTCCATTTGGAGTGTGCTTATTTATAATCAGGGAAGAAAGCTGTTTTCCTTTGAGTGACTTACCTTTTTAGAATACAGGTAGTCTTCAATTTACAACCACAACTGAACCCAAAATTTATGTTGCTAAGTGAGAAATTTTTTAAGTGAGTGTTGTCCCATTTCATTACTTTTCTTACCACATTTGTTAAGTGAAGCACTGCAGTTGTTAACTTAGTAACATGATTGTTAAGTGATAGGTTCCCCATTGACTTTGCTTGTCAGAAGGTCGGCAAAGAGGATCACATGACCCCAGGCTATTGCAACCCTCGTAAATATGAACCACTTGCCAAGCATCCGAATGTAAATCATAGGACTATGGGGATGCTGCGATGGTCATACGTGTGAAAAATGGTCAGAAGTCACTTTTTTCAGTGCTGTTGTAACTTCAAACGGTCATTAAGCGAACTGTTGTAAGCCGAGGACTACCTACCTGTATACCTAGAGAAATGTTTTTGTCACCACAGTAAGGACTTGTTCATAGACCCAACTTCTTGTCAGCCCAAATCTTTAATGATATACAGTACAAGAGAAATGCAAGTTTTGCTTTGCTCTTTAATGATTTTTGGCATTTATTATTAAACATGCTTCCCGTTTCTTCACAAACACTTTAGTAAATGTAACTGCATGAAGGAAGATTAATTTTATCCATTTTAAATTATTGTGTTTTTTAAAATTATGACACATTGTGTTTTTTTTTAATTATGACAACCAAGGAGAGCTGGTTATATAATTTTTCCACTTTGAAAGTAACTGAGACTTGCTGTTGATCCAGAACAGCTGCTGCTATGGCTGTAGATGCAATCTAAATTCACTGATAAATTGTAGACAAATCCCAGTTAAGCTGTATGAGTGGGTGTATGGGTTTTTAGAGTTGATGGGCTACAGATTGGTTTAAAAAAATCATGTCAAATCACATGAAAGCATCTGTTCCTGGGTACAGAGTATTGTTCAGCATTTTAAATGATGTAGACATGCTAATATTATATAGATTTTCCCAATAAAGTTTTCTTGATACGCAATGGCAATTTCATGGCATTTGACTTTATTTTTCCTCTACAAGGCTCATCACTTTTGAATGTGTGATTTGATATGTGTTGCTCTTTTACTTTCTTTTTGCAAACTGACCCATTGTGAACACCAGAAATAATCACCTTATTTTATGTTGGGGAAAAAAAAGTAAACAGAATGCTATTACCTTGTTTTAAGTGACATTATTTATTCCTATTACCTTTTTGCCAGACTTTTCAGAATAAGCACCCTCCATAAACAAAAATCTAAGTTTGTTAGTTACATATGATCAATCCTCAGTTATTCAAAGTACATTAATATTTTAAATGTTGATCTCTTTCTCACTTTCTCAACCCTCTCTCTCCCCACTCTCCCTCCCTCCTCTCCCCCCCCACTTGATGACGCCTTATATAATCTCTTCCAGTATCCTCATGTGGATATTAATACAGTAGAGTGGACAGATACCTGCAGGAATTCACAAGAGAGCATCCACTAGGCCAATCTCTTCTCCCTCCATTGATTAGTGCTCGATTTCCACTTAGCAAATCAATATCTCTCATTCATCAACCCTTGTAGGCAGTCCAAGTAGTTCATGGTATCTTAACATCAGTGAAAGTCAAATTTGATTAGGAGAGGTATAATTCATCCATATTTTGATGAGAGTCATCCACCAGAACCAGTGCCATTCTCTGGAGCTGGACTGTGATTAAAAGAGGTCCAAATATAGAGTACTGTATAGCTGAAGCTTCTATGCCTGCTCAACAATTGTCTTTAAATAGGAAAGGTTGGAAGCAGGGAGATAATTATGCAATTTAACTGGATCCAGAGAGAGCTTCTTCAGTACCAGCATCTCCTTTAGAAAGCTCTCACCCCTTGCCAATCATACTTTGCTTTTTTATGGACTTCCAAAGATCTTTGTGTTAAAATTTTATTTACTTACTTACTTACTTACTTACTTACTTACTTACTTACTTACTTACTTACTTATTTTATTAAACTTGTATGCCGCCCTCTCTCCCAAAGGACTCAGGGCGGTTCAGAACGATAAAAAACACATAAAATTCAGAATTCAAATAATTGATTCCCTGTTCTGCTGGGAACAATTAATACTAATATATTATGATTCTGACTGGCAACATTGTACTTATATATATAATAGCTAACTCAAGCAAAATGATAGCTTGCTGTTCTCATTTTAAATACTAGCTAAATAATGCTACTATATAGGACATTTTATTTTCAGTTCTGTTTTGCTGAATTCATTTTTCTCACTTTTAGTCTGGAAATCCAACCAACTCTGCCACTTCAAATCAAGAAGAGCTCCATTCTCAACCTGCATCCAATAATACTTCAGTGAGCCCTCGCCAAAGACATAACCAACACAGAAGAGCACCAGGTTCAACCAACTTCAATCAGGTTCAGCAGCCAAGAGTCAACACAAGCCACATGGGATCAAATATGCTGATTCTCCTTCTTGTTTTAGCATTGGCAGTACTAGTCGTTAGACGTATATTTCTAGCCAATGAGTATGTATTTGAATTATGAAATTCTTTTATTTTGAAGACCAGTGACTTGAACGTGTTATTGAAATGTTCTATGTTTGGTATGTCATGAGGATTGTTTACATAAGATTACTTTTTGTATTTTCTCATTTTAAAAGTGAATGCCAATGTACCTGAGGGGTACATTAATATTTTCAAGGAATATACACTTTGATAGTGGTGAAAGTATGAATGATTAATAATCTGTACAAACTGACAGATTACCCAAAATGTCTTTTGAGAATATTCTGCATTAGCAGGATATTTAAGGGTGAATGGACTTACTGCATTGTGCACAAGCTTTGATGGGTACTTTTAACTGACAGAGCCCTAAAATTGTGTTTTATGCCAATATGGATTTATGGATAATTATTCAAAATAGCAGGAAAAAAAAGGTTTATTCATGATAGGGCTCCTTAAATTGAAATGCAGAAATGTTTGCATAGTAAATGTTATTAAATAAAGGAAAGTTGGTAATATATAGTAGGCACATTTATTTCCTACATAAAAATTCCAGGAAATGAAATGCTGTAAATTGTGAGCATTTTTTTAAAAAAAGTTGGGAGAACCAGAATATACTTTACTTTTTACTTTTAATTGTCCTGAGCCTAGAATAATCTTTTGCAAGTTTTGAAGGCTACTTTTAAAATATTCAGTTGTGTATATTTTGCTTTTTTAAAAGCTGAGAATCCCCCAAATTGTTATGTAATATTTACCCAAGCATTATTGACTATAACTTATTTGAGAAATATACATAATGCATTGAATTGATTGTTCATGTCCCCATCATTAAAAAATAAAATGCTTTTTAAAAACCCATCAACAAAGTTAGAATATTTTCATAAGTTTATTTAAGAAATGCTTTGGGAAAATTAAGTTTTATTATTAATTGAGCTTGTCTAATTGCTTCATTCATTGAGTTTGCAAGCAATTGATTCCAAGTAGGAGCTAAAAGGCAGTGTTGTCAGCCCTGCAGAGTAGACCAGATCAGGAAACTGACTCCACAGGAAGATTGGAACTCTACTTTATTGAAATGGGCTCTAGTAACCCTTGCAAGCTGGCTGTGTTTCCCCCTTCAATCTTTTATCCCAGGGAGGAGCCAGTCTGAGCTTCTTCCTAATACTATTTCTTTACCCAGATTTTAAGGAATGCTCTGTCCCCTTTGTTCACATACAGTAACAGTTTCTGAATATTTTCTTCAAAGCTCTCTCCTTTTCACACCTCAGGATACAATCAGTTTCTAATTTGTTTAACCATTTCCGCTGGCAATTAGTCAAATAGCAATGATCAGGTCTTATGCACAAACACATCATTTGTGGATAAGCAAGAAATCAAATCAAGAAAACAATAGCAGAAGGAACTAGTTGTCAGTGATTTTTCCATTTACAATTATCAGAAAGATTTTAAATGAATATAAAGATGGTATGGCAAAGTGAGTCAGAATTTGAAATACAACGAACAGATGATGAACATATAATTGCTGAAATTGCAAACTTCTGTTGAAATTTAAAGCAGGAAGAACAGGTTACAGAATATATGATTAAATGGGCTAATAATGTTGGTTATAATACATAGATCAGTGGGAAAAGATGTGGCTTAAAGGGTTGAAATGTGTGTTACAATCTCAAATATATTTTTAATAAAATGATATATTTTGTTGACACATGATGCCAGAGAAATTATCTAGAATGTATAAAAGCACTTCAAATGTATGTTGGAAATATGAACAACATGAGACATTTATTATATTTGGTAGTAAAAAGGTAAAGGAGTTCCTGTGGATTTTACTCCGCCATTCATTGCCGACTATAGTGAATTTTGCTCATCTCCATTTCAAGGCCATTGAGCCAGCGCTGTCGGAAGACATTTCCACATCATGTGGCCAGCAAGACATCATGGAGCATTTACCTTCCCACCAAAATGGTATCTATCTATTAGCATTTGCATGCTTCCAAACTGCTAGGTTGGCAGGAACTCTGGGACAAGGAAAGGAGCTCACCCTGTCACGCTGAGCTCCTCTCAAACTGGCTTGCTGGCTTTCCAGCTGACAAGCCCAGCATCTTAACCACCATGTTATTTTTGGTGGCATTTAAAATAAAACATTCTGGATTCCATTGAGTATTGATCTTTAAAATCCTCTAAATCAAAGTATGCATTTGAATCCAAATTCTTTTAGCTTTTTAAAAAATGTTTGGTGGACATGTAAAAAAGCTAAAAAAGTTTGTATTCAGATACTTAAAGAATTTTAAAGATCAATACTCAATGGAATCCAGAATTTTTCCTTTTAGAGTAAATAGATAAAAGATTAGAAAAAAATATGGCAACTTTAAGACGGGATTAAAAGATATTTGTATTTACAGCTGCTATGAAAAATGTTGGAAGCTATTTTATAATTTCTTTTCCTATTTTCTTCAAGGAAGGGTTTTTTTTTGCACTTTTGGGCTTTGCTTTTTTTCTTCCTTACTTCATGTTAATTTGGACTTTAATAAAAATTATACACTGAAAAACGAAAAGTAGGGCACCAAGTAATCTCTCTATTCTATACCACAAGGAAAAGAACTTGGTTGGATGCGGACAAAGTATCCAATGCCTTTATCAATTCAGTACTTTTCTTAAAATCTTGACCAACGCTGCACTCGAAATTCTCTCTAAAGCCAACACAATTTTTACACACTACTGATTTGTAAACTACGGCTTATGGCTTAATGTCTTAACCTGTAATTTAAACTACGAATGATAACTTTAAACAATGCTTGGAGCAAACAAACCATGGCTTTTCGTGTAGGTTTAGCCCCAGAGACAGATACTGACACAGAACAGAGAGAATGAAGGTAACAGTGGAGTTGCCAGCTGGCTGGAATAATGTGAATAAGGTAAATAAAATAGGAATCATACAGAGTCAGCTACCTGGATTCTAAAGGACCCTCTCTATTCACATTATTATAAGGGAAAAATGTGCTTAGCCCCATGAACTCTAAAAGACCCTCTATTGTAAGAAAGAAATGTGCTGGTTTGGAAGAACAATATTTGCTTGGAAGATTACACTAAGTCAGATAAAATACATCCTGGATAACATATATATCTTCTGAAGGGACCTAGTTGTCAAGGACATCCTGGATAATATATATATATCTTCTGAAGGGACCTAGTTGTCAAGGATGTAAGGACATCCATATGGAACCAAGGAAGACATAAATCTATGCATCAGCAATCACAGAACTAATAAAGGATGTTTAGCTACGATAATCTTATGAACTAGAAAATAATATAGGAATTTAGTAATTAGGAAATGTCAATTATCGTATAATGGATGTATGTTAACCATATATGGAAAACTGCTGTGCCAGCAAGGTCCTTTGTCTTGGATATGTATAAAAGCAGTCCTACCAGGGCTCTTTCTTTGTTCAGATAGCAAGAACCTTGCGCAATAAAAACTGTCTCTGGCTGACCCAGGAATGTTGTTTGGTCCCATCATTCCATATCAGGAAAACTAAAGGAAAAAAAAAAGAGGAAACAGACATAAAGGGTTAGAAAGAAACTACCAACTAGGTAGGGCATTTCCAAATTCCCAATGAGCAGCTATTTTCCACCGCCCCCTCCCCCTCCAGGTTCGAAACCGCTTGCTCTCCATAGGCAGCAATGGAGAAACGTAACGCACAAACATTCAACTCAGGGCAATCCTTAATAATAATAATATTTTTTTTAAAAAAGCGTAGAGATGCCGGACAGAGGGGCGTCCCCGTCCGCGAGGTACGCCTGATTGGTCTAAAGCCTGGCGCATGGCATCCCATCCCGCGTTTCCATTGGCTGTTGGCCACCCATGTAGAACTCAGTGGAAACGCGGCCAGCTGGGATTACTTTCTTTCCCGAGGGACGGCTAATAGGCGAGCAAGGAGGGGAGGAATGGATGCGAGGTAGGCGGTTTAGGAAGCTGGTTTAAAATCTGGAGGAAAAAAAAAAAAAGCAGCTTTTCTAATAAGAATGGTCGCTCGGACAAATGCAACGCTTGAGAGATGCAGATAGTTCGATGTTTAAACCGGAGTGCATTTTACCCGTCAGGAGGCGGCTGGACGGAAGGAACAGGGAGCCCTGATTCCCAAAGTATGCTGTATTTTGCAAAACTCATATTGCTGCTCTTTTGCGGGGTCCTTCTCGGAGAAAGTAGGAAGCACAGAAAGGGGAGATGGACGGCAGAAGCCCAGGTGCAAAAAATAAGGTAAGGAGAGCCTTACGATTAAATCAATGTATCCCTTTTCCTTTGGTTTCCCTCTACTTGCATGTATGTGCGGAGAGGTGTAGTTTTTGCGAGTTTTATTATATACGTTCCTGCATAAGAAGTTTGTAAAGAGCGCGCGTTGTACTAAAAGTACAAGTACAGTAACTAGAAATGTTTATGGTTTCCAAGATTTCTTGTCCTCGACTAGCATTAAAAATGCCTCTGAAATCCATGTGGTTTTCATTCTTGACTTTGCGAGTCAGGTGGAGTTCGACCACAAACCAGGTTGCTGCTGAAACAGGAACTCTGTTCAAAGCAATCAGAAAACACGCAAGAATGATTTCCTAGGAAATCCTGAATTGTTTTTATGCTGTTATACTGTTACGTAGCAAGTCGTATTTTCACAGGATTTAAAAGAGAAGGCAGCTTCTGGAGAAATGCTAAACTCTAGGAGTTGCATTTAGCACAATCTTCATCTGGGATGCCACTTAGAATCTTGCCGGATCTGGGCACTGTTGGGCCAAAGTTTTGAGAAAAAATATTTCTGTAAAGAGTTGTTGCAGTTTAAGAAATTGTAATTGGAACATGTTTAGTTGGAGAGAAATAATGTTTAGATGAGTAAGTTTTATTACTAATTAAATTTGCAGCTGTCCTGTTATTATTGATCCCTGGGCATTTTATTTATAAATGAATTGAGTATTAATGATGAAAAACAGCTATGGAATAGCAAGAAAGATCTTTAAAGTAATCAGATTTCATGTCAAGATAGCATGGCAACTATTTTAGGTTGCCAAACCCTGAATACATCTTGCTCTTGAATTCTGCTGTCCAGTGAGAATTGCTCCTTTTCAGAGTTAGCTCAGGCTGCAAGTTAGATTTATTTAGCAAAACTATAAGTTTCTTCCCTTTTCTATTTTTTCATCTTTTAAGCTTTTCCAAATCTTCCCCAAGAGCTTGTTGCTGTTCCATGCCAGTTAGGATTGCAGAGGTATATAGGCTTGGAGGAAGAATTTATCTGCTGTTGGACATACAGCTCAATATTAGGATTTGGGGAAAAGGTTAAGACTTGGTAAAAGAGTAGTAAAGTTCCAGTGATGGAAAAAAGATGTACCAGATTTGCACAAAACAATTTTCCAGTGTGAATGCTGAACTGGATAATCAGTTGCTGAAAAAGTCCAATGGCCTTTCATCTGATAGCATTTTCTCAGGAAAATATGATATGAAGATTAACATGGAAGCAAATACAAGTACACTGTAAAATGGGGACAAATGCTTGGGAAGGGACAGAACACTAACAATGATTTTTTTGGGGGGAAAAACCCTTTTGTATGACTGGACTACTGGTTTATTAATAAAACAAATGGGTGAAATATATGGGATTTGGCCCTGCATAGTTAGCACGCAAACTAACTAAAGCCTTCCAAAACATCTTATGTAAACCTAAAGACTGAGTAGCTCAAAAAGAAAAAAAACGGGCGTCATCTACAACATACAGTGTAAGGATTCTAACAGCCACTATGTAGGACAGACAGGCAGAAGATTAGCAGAGCACATCCATGAACGCCAACTAGCAATGAGAAGACCAGATAAAACACTCCTTAATTTCACAACATATGGACAGAGTTAACCATACTTTCAACTGGGAAAACTGAGACCTAGACCAAGGTAAATCCAAAAATGCTAGGAAATTTCAGCTTGACACTCAGACAAATCAACCACCAAATATATACATAGGCATAAACATCATTTACAGACCATTCAAAAGAGACAATAAAAAAGCTAAAAAAGGAAAGAAAAAGATACTTCTTTGCCAGCAATCAGCACTCAGATAAACAGGGATTAACACCAGGATTGAAACTAGACAATCAAGCAGCAAACAATTCCTAATGAAGGAATTACCAACTCAGATAAACAACAGCCTAATCAAGAAACTAACCAGGAGTAAACAACACCTTCACCAATACTGATAGGACAAGCTACTGTATGTAAATAGAGAGTAAAGCCCACTCTTGTTTAGCACTAGCTGAAGATGTTACCTAGTTGGATAAAAAAACATCTGCAAACAGCCGATTTTAGAGAGCACCAAGGATTCATAAATAAATATTTAGTATTCTATCCATAATATCATGCAGAATGTATTAGTAAAATATGTAATATGAGCAAAGTGGTCCTTCAGGTGCAGCTTTTCTCATTTCAGTTGGGCAGAGAAGGCAAATTTCCCAGGCTTTTCCTATTTACCCATAGAGCAATCTATGTACCTTGATGTTAGTTGGCCTTACTTATAGCACATATGTGATTTAGTTTGATTGGCATGTTTTTAAACATCCTTGCCAAATTAGAGTTCCCAAGATTCTTTGGGGGAAAACTCAGTGTTTTGACAGTCTTCAATTTATCATCATAATTGAGCCTGGATTTATAGTCCTAAATTGTGCCTGTTAAGTGGGTTACAATGTGACAAAGCCTGATTTTACGACCTTTATTGTGGTGGTCAATAACTGAATCACCACAATTAAGCAAATGCAGTGAATCATTAAGCGAATCCATTGTTCATAATGAGATTGATTGATTGATTTGCCAGAAAGCAGAAGTAAATGTTGGTTTCTGACAAAAAAACAACAACACCATCATGAATTTAAGTCACATGACCATGGGTCATTGCAACCAGCTGTAAATGGGGGGCAGGTTGCTAAGTGCCCAAAATTCAATCATGTGACTACAATGGGAGGGGGGATGTTGGAATTTCAAATCTGGGTTGCAAGTTGCCCTGATTGGGTCTGTTGTAGTTTCCAATAGTCGCTAAGTAACTGGTTGTAAGTAGAGTACAGGATTTACAACAGTTCACTGAAAAAAAGTGAGTTATGACCATTTTTCACACGACCGTTGCAACATCCCCATGGTCATGTGATTTACATTCAGATGTTGACAACTGACTCACATTTATAACGGTTGCAGTGTCCCAAGGTCCTGTGATCACCTTTTGCAACTTTCTGACAAGTAAAGTCAATGAGGAAACCAGATTCATTTAACAACTGAGTTACTAATTTAACAACTGCAATGATTCACTTAACAAATGTGGCAAAAAAAAGTTGTAAAATGGGGCAAAACTCACTTAACAAATTTCTCACTTAGCAACATAAATTTTGGGCTCAATTGTGGTCGTAAATTGAGGACTACCTGTATCTGTGCATGCACTGAGAAATAATCCAAGAAGAACTAAACTGCAGAGTGGCTGTTTCTGCATTCCTCAGGAAAGAGGAAATGAACCCCCTCCCTCATCAAAAGAAAAAATACTAAAAAGGAGACAAGTTGAATAACATTTGCATCATATGTACTAGATGTAATTTAAACAGAAACACAAATATTTCTCACCAGGCAGTGTGTGAGCAAACTATATGTGTGATTATTATATTTTTGTGTAATTGGGGAAGCTTTAATTGTTTTACCCTCTTTTCTTGTGGCTCTTCAACTTGGACTTCTGTGGTCTTGAGTAGACAGATCAAGCCCAAAGGAGAGGCTGTCAAAATGCAAGACTCTCCTCTAATTGCTGCTCAAGTAGAGCACGTTATTCTGTAGAGTAAGATTTACCCTACCTTGAAGTAACTTTCCAAAAGATTTCTTCTGTGGGAAGATGGAAGATAGTGCAAGGAAGGAGGAGGAAAAAGACAACTTGAAGATGGCCTTGTAAATGGCATCAGAAATGCCCAGATGGTTGACTCTGGTTAATCTGTTTTTAATCTGCTATCAAGCTGTTAATCAATGTATGCATAAGGCAATGTTATTTCACAGGGAATTGGGCTCCGTAAACCCTTCCTTTTCCTACTATTTCAACAGTAAAATTGGTTGGATGAAAACAATTATGTATTGTTTTACACTTAAATCTGTTTTTCTCCCAATGGCATGCAGATTTGGTGCTGCAAACTACGTTTTCTCTTGAGTTTTATAGATAATGCACATATTCTTGGAGATAATCTTGCCATTTTACCTGATTTCCAGCTCTGCGTTTAAATATTTTTGGGGAGGGCTTATTTTCGGGGGGAGGCTCATTTTAGTGCATGCGCTCAAAAGCCCAATTGGGCTTATTATCAGGGGATGTCTTATTTTCGGGAAAACAGGGTATGTAGTATAAATCCTGTCCTCAAACTTCAGAGGTTTTGACCATATTTTAGTGGAGCAGACATTTGGAGAATTGTGATATATACAGGCAGTCCTCAACTTATGACCCACAAGTGAGCCTAAAATTTCTGTTACTAAGTGAGACAGTTAAGTGAATTTTGCCCCATTTTATGACCTTTCTTGCCACAGTTGTTAAGTGAATCAGTTAAGTTAGTAACACAGGTGTTAAGTGAATCTGGCTTTCCCATTGACTTTGCTTGTCAGAAGGTCACATGACTCCGGATCATTACAAAGGTCATAAATATGAACCAGTTGCCAAGCATCTGAATTTTGATCACGTAACAATGGCGATGCTGCAACGGTTGCTAATGTGAAAAATGGCCATAAGTCATTTTTTTACTGTTGTAACTTTGAGCAGTCACTAAGCGAATTGTTGTAAGTTAGGACTATCTGTATACATACACACATACAGTAAATGAAGAATGTAATTTCCTTTAGTGCGTATTAGTATAATTTTACCCGTTCCAATATCAGTTCAGTCCAAGGATCAGATATTTAGCAAGATTATACCTGCTTACCAGTGTGTTCTGTAGCAGGGTGGATAAAAATCAATGATTTTTTTAAAAAAATCAAAAAAATCAGATTTTTTTGATTTAAATCAGATTTTTTTGATTTTTATCGAATTTATTTTAATAAAAAACTTTTGGGGTAAAAATCTATCGTAAGATAGTTTTCTATTTAAGATACATAAATAATTTAGTTTATTCAGCATGAAATGGACCTTAGTTATGTAGCATGAGGCTGTCTGTATATTCTGCAACACTGGGACTATCGGTGAGTCAACAGTGGGTCAAAGGAGTAGCAGAGATGACAGTTGCTCTTTAAAAATTATGATTTAAATCGAGTTGATTTAAATCAAGCCTTTTTACTAGTGATTTAAATCATGATTTAAATTGTGATTTAAATCAACTCGATTTAAATCAAATCCACCCTGTTCTGTAGTTTGGGAATGAGGCAAGTCAGTATCTTTTCCTGAAGAACTGTTAATGCCTAGCTATCTCCATACTAACAGGGCCACCAGATTTGGACTTTGAAGATCCAGCCAATTGCTAGATCTGCTGGCTGGAGAATTCTTTTGAGTTGAAGTCCACACATCTTAAAATTGCTGAAATTGAGAAACAGTGTGATATTTTAATGGTAGAGATCCTTCCCATTACCAAAACTTTTATTTTTATTTCAGGTTATACCAATAAAATTAGAAAATTTTTTTTTTTGAAATATTGAATAAAATAACATCCAAATTTATGTGGCAGGGGAAGCGCCTACGTATTAAACTTAAATTACTACAGGACACAAAAGACAGAGGAGGAACAGCACTCCCAGAATGGGAACTTTATTATCAAGGGCTGGTTTATCCTGGTTAAAAGAATGGATCGAATTAAAAAATAATAGAATACTAAAGAGAAACAATGTGATAGATGATAGCTGATAGTAAGCTTTTTGCATCTCTTTGCTGTTACCTAATAGTCATTTGGATTTTATATCCTTGGTCAAATACCCATTTGAAGGAGCATTAGAAGCACCATGTTATTTAGCTATCTAATATAGTGCAGCCTTGTTTACCCATATTACTCATTCATTTAAACAGAGTACGCTGAATTCAAAGTTCATATGGTTGGGTTTACACCACCAAAATTTCATTCAGTTATGTTTAACTGTACCTTTTAGAGAACCTGTTGCTGATTGTCTTTATTTGTATGAATTCAGGCAATTAATAATATATACATACAATAGATAGAAAGAATTAACCTTTGGATTATTTTTATGGATACCTATTCAGTCAGACCAATTGCATGGAGAGATAGCTCAATGAACATGTTAAAGTTGATTCTGAAGAGGGAAACTTAACTACAGATACAATCAGATTATATATTCATACATGAGATCTTATTTCTTTAACTACAGATACAATCAGATTATATATTCTCTACATGAGATCTTATCACAGGTATCTTTGATTTATAACCACAATTGAGCCCAACTTTTCTGTTGCTAAGTGAGACAGTCAGTTGTTAAGTGAGTTTTGCCCCATTTACCACCTTTCTTGCCACAGTTGTTAAGTTAGTAACACAGTTGTTAATGATTCTGGCTTCCTCATTGATTTGGCTTCTCAGAAGGTCGCAAAATGGGATTACATGACCCTGGGACACTGCAACTGTCATAAATATGAATCATCTGAATTTTGATCACGTGACCATGGGGATGCTGCAACGGTCGTAAGTGTGAAAAATGGTTATAAGTCACTTTTTTCAGTGCCATTGTAACTTCAAACAGTCATTAAATGAATGGTAGTAAGTCAAGGACTGCCTGTAGATAAGATGCTGTTGTGTTGGTCAGCATAAAAGGTACTAAAATAGTTTTCTCTGGTCTAGTGCCTGGGAATTTGTTGGTCTATAATACCCATCAACCCTAACACCATGAGGATCATTGTTGTCTGGATGAGGTCCAGGTTGGGGAAAGGCTACTGCTGTAACTGATAGTATCAGTGCATTCAGTTTTCATGTTTTCAATTCCTACGCTTCCGCTTGTGCTCAGGACAACTAGAAGTCCAGATATATGATATTGTAAGGATTTTTCTTATGCTATGTTTTCTCTGCTTCTTCAGGAGAGTTCTTTATATTCCTAATTTAGCACAAAGGTACCATGTTGGGACTTAGACCTGACTCAATATGTTGGCATGCTCTCCCATCATGATAACTTTGGATAGTGAGACAGACAGCATATAAATTTAATAAATAATAAATCATTTCATGGTCACTCCAGTGCATGGAATCCCTTTGCAAAGATGTAACTTCAGTATATTATTATTAGCAAACTACCCCTCAGCTTTTTAAAGTGGTCCTTCTCACAGTTACCAGAAATTATAGCTGGTATTCTTGTTTTTCAATCTAGTTACTCATATAAAAAGAACTATGACATGACCAAAACTTGGCCAGGGAGCAGCAAAAGGCTTCTGAGAGTAGAGGACCATGATTTCTCCATGAGGCCTGCCTTTGGAGGTAAGAAATGTGTGTTTACTCATCTCTGTAAAGTTGAATGATTCAGCTTAGAAACTCCAAACAAGCTACTTCAAGCTACTTTTTTAATTAAGCCTCCCAACTGGATGGTGAGATTATGATTTCAGAGCATTGCTAAAACTACAGTATAAATGTACTAGTGATTTTTCAGAAAGAAATGGAAGGATTGTACGTCCATCTTATTGTCAACCGTCTTCAGGAAATCTGTTTTACTAAATGATACTTTTATTCTGGGGAACTATAGATTTTGAAAATATAGAGAAAACACACAACATACTTGTTCTATTGAACTGACTTCATAATATATTTCCCAGAACTCAAGGTAAGTAAAATATTTATTAGCCCAACAGCAGTTGCCTTAAGTTCCTTATATTTAACCATATTAAAGCCTAATACAGTGCATTTTGCTGAGCAATAATTTAGAGGCCAGGCTTGATTTCCCTGACTGGATCCCAAATCTTGGGTTGCTAAAATAGATTACGTAGTTGATAAACACCCTCCTCCCCAAAAAAGCTGAATGGGAGAAAAAAAAACCCAGGAAATTGCAGCCTCTTTTGTAACATTTTCTCATCCTTATGCTCTTTGACCCCACCCCCACTCCCAGAATGCCATTTTTCCTTGGGAAAGATGGATTCCATATGAACCTGCATTCAAGATTTCTGCTCGCTTGTGGCTAAACCTCTCTTCCCCTTCAACCAAGTCCTTTTCTGTCTAAATAGGAGACACATCTTGTTTTGACCACTCCTAAGTGATTCCTCCACGCCAATGACTTTGCTATTGCTAGCAGATGTTCAGGCATTATTTGTTACAAATATTAACATATAACCATTATGTAAATGTTGCTCTTTGACTCCCTTCCTCAAATTCTGAGTCAAAGCATTTTCATCTAGGTCAGCTCATTTTTCCACCGAAAACAACTGGGATTCCATGAATAAGCAGCTTTAGCTGATACTTAAAATAGCGCTATCTTTTCTGTGGAAGAACAGCCTAAATGTATTGTAGCAGAGTTGTTATTCATTTCCTCTATCCCCAATTTAGAACAAACATCTTCTACTGTTGGGCCTTTAATCTGGATGTACAGCTGAAAATATAAATGGGCCCACTTCAAGGGCAAACCTAATTGCTAAATTTTATTGTTGTTAATACATTGTCACAGGTGAAAGAATACCACAGTGTCCTACAGTATATAGTATATAACTATCCCGTTGTTTCCAGAGCTTTGGGAGGTTTTCTTGGGTTTGGTTTTCTACATGGGAGTTTGGCACTGCAGGTCCTCTGCCCTACATCCCACCTAGGTGCCTCAGGTAAAATTGAGTCCCAGGTAGTTTTCTGCAACAGAAAAGAGGCAATATAAAACTTCTGAATTGTACTCTGTTTTCCTTGAAGAGGTTATTATTGTGATTGCACACTATGGCTTGCTCTTGCAGATCTTTTTTTTTTTTTTAATTTGATTTATATGCCGCCCTTCTGCAGAGACTCAGGGCGGCTTACAATGCGTTAAGCAATAGCCTTCATACTTTTGTATATTTATACAAAGTCAGCTTATCGCCCCCACAATCCGGGTCCTCATTTTACCTACCTTAGAAAGGATGGAAGGCTGAGTCAACCTTGAGCCTGGTGAGATTTGAAATTGCAGTGATTGCAGGCAGCTGATGTTAATAACAGTGCTTTAGTCTGCTGCACCACCAGGGCTCATACCAGTTAAACACCCAGCACATAAGGATGAATAGGCACTTTCTGAGCACTCTCAGTATAGTTCAGCCTCCTTTTTTTTTTTTTTTTTTGGTGGTCTGAAGGTTTGATGTGGCTGAAATTTTTTGGTCCTTTGGGCTGGGAAGCTCTGGGGCTGAAAATAAACAGGAACAACCATAAGAGCTGAACTACAAGTTCCATGGAATTGGAATGATTCATATAATCTTGGAATGGAAAGTTGGGGGCAGTCAAATTTGCTTGTGCAGGATTCACATATCCATCCTGACTTTCAGTCTGTGTTTGTGTGAAACATTGTCCTCCATCACCTGTTTTTCTTCTGGCAAGAAAAAAAAAAGATTAGGTCAGACTAGATTTACTTATTTAAGTACTACAGGAAAGGCTGCATTGAAAATTGGTATCTACAGGGCCTTCCTATTTTCAGGAGAAAGATATTGAAGACACTGGGATGTTTTCCCTGTGAGGTAGGAAAGCAGCATGAAAAGAGTTTTGTTCAGAAAGATGATATGGGGGGGGGGGGAATAATTAAGAAACGGCTGTGCAAATTCTCAGCCTCCTTCCAGAATCGCTTTTCAGTTTGTAAAAGAAATTGTTGGAAGGACCATCCAAGGGAGAAACAGATTGTAGTATGAGAGTATAGTAGTTGCATGCCCTGCTTTGGCACTCTGAGAAGATGCTCTGTTAAGACTTCTCTAGAAAGCTCTGTAAATCAGAGCCTCTAAAATTTCAGAGCTTTATGTAACAATTTTAAGTATCACTTTAATGAAACAGTTTGAAATAATTTGGAGCTCTAGGAGACTTCAGAACTTTATGAAATACCTGGTTTTGTAGATGCAGGATAGAATGTGCTTGGTGTTCTGAGGAATGCAGAAAGTCTACAGCTTTGCATTTTCCTCATAAGATATGTGTGGATATCTTATGTTGTTGCAAGGGAGAATAAATGGATGGGAGGAAGTACCCATACATTTTCCCCTATAAATGCTGCTCTTTCAAATGCTGTCCCTGCCATTTTGGCTGTGGTTGTGTATAAGTTACTGAACACATATTAGCCAACCCAATTCTAGCTTTCTGCAAATCAATTTTCATGTGGCTCAAGATGTTGTTGTATGAGACACCAGAAAATTATGTTGATTGAGTGGCTAATCATAGGTAAGTGCAAATTAGAAATAAAAAAATAAGTTTTTTCCTCAGGCAATGCCCAGCTGAATTAAAAATCAGCCCTAAGGAGAATGGTGAAAAAAAAAGTGGCAGGAGCAGATATAGGAGGGAATCAGCCTCCAAGGCCCTTAATCTCTCATCTTTTGGGGAGAAATTACATCCTGAAAAGAAGAAAGGTTCCCGAAAAATTCAGGCTGGGATTAAAAAGAGGCAAAGATGGCATTGTGTGGGGCATAGAGGAATAGGAACTTGCTTCCTAGTCTCTTGGGGGCGGGGGGGGGGGAAGTCAATTAAACTGGGAAAGAATTTACTAGATAGCTTTATACTACTGGTTCTGTCCAAACAAGTGCATTAGATTTTTTACTACTATTGCTGACAAGATGATTCATGTGGAAATAATTTCTATTGTTTTTAATTCATTTGAGGAGCAGCATTATTTTGCCTACTCTACAAGGTACTTCTCCCTCCTGGTGTCCACAGATTCTTCTCATTCTTTTGCAGCAGTTATCAGTTTGGCATAGATGAGACCTCTGGTGAAATTGACAAGAGGCCTGTCAGTTTTTCCTGTTAGCTGGAGGGTGGGGAGGTGGGCAGTGAAAGAGTGGAGTGAAACATAAGAGGGTCCCTTTCAGATCCTCCACCACATTGATGAGGTATTTCTTGGATTATTTCTGAAATTGTGCTTATCACTCTTCTGAAAGAGTGCTAAGCCCGTATCTGAAAACAGGTTAGCTGACAGGTCAATGGGACAGAAGACAAGCACAGGAGCAGGTTGGAGGAGGCATCCTTCTATAGCTATCTGTCACTCAGCTTGAAAGTTGGCTGAAGCATCCATCACAGTTGCCCAGCCTGCCCCTGCACAATAAGTGATGATTGGGGTTTTTATTTGCTAGGATGAAACACAGAGTAGAAGGCGAGACGAAGCTTTGGAATCCACCGATTGCTGTCCTTGAGTTATCCTGGATCGAAGCTGCAGGAACAGCATCTCTCACCTACCTCATGACTAAAGCAGGACAGAAGTGAGAAAGAGAATATTAGCTATATGTACACTGCTCAAAAAAATAAAGGGAACACAAGCAGAAGACATCCGAGATCTGAATGAATGAAATAGCCTTATTAAATACTTTCTTCGTTACATACAGTAGTTTTGTGTTTCCTTTAGTTGTTTGAGCAGTGTATAAACTACTGTATGTAAAGAACAAAATATAATAAGGCTATTTCATTCATTCAGATCTCGGATGTCTTCGGGTTGTGTTTCCTTTATTTTTTTGAGCAGTATATTTCAAAATGCATAGTTTATTCCTAACCCTTGAGATATGACAGGATCACCCAAATATTTAGGAGAGGATTGGTATCACAAAGCTGCTACATACATATCTCTTTGTGGCAAAAAACAACAACCCCACAACAATGTCTGTTATCTCTAGCTCTCACTCGTTCCTGGGATATCTTATTTTTGTTGAGGACTAGAAGGCTGGTGCCATGGAGGAAACACTACTTCAACACTCCATGCCATGGAATTCTGCAGGGATATGTTTCTCAGAGGGTACTGCTAAGAAAAACAAGGAATTTATATTTCCCTTTCTCTTCTCTGACTTGAAGCTCTTTCTCACAGCTTGGGTAGGAGTATTAGTACTTTGTGCATCTGGATGCAGGAATACTGATGCTTGTTTGTTAATATTTAAAATGGTACAAGATTCTTGGTGCTCTTTCATTTTGTGAAAGATCCTTACAGATCTTTCTCCATGCCCCATTGTTGCCCACTTCCAAAGGAGCCTTAGAATCACAAAGCACGGTAATTTGCATCTAATTATTAATTCATTAAATTTAATCCACTGTGGACCTATAGGCTTAAATTATTTTTTTAAAAAAGAAACCTTCCTATCCAGCACTGCTTTAATTCCTAAACGGATGTCCAATAATTTTGTTATAAGATTTGTTTGATAGCTACAGTTGCTTAGTGTTTTTTTTAACACTCTCCTCAAGTTGCCTGCTCTCTGCTATGGTATGCTGAGTCCTCTTCATCACATCCGACCCAAGAGGGGGTGATGTCACCTATTTTAGTTTCATGATCCAATTGCTCTGGGAAAATAGGAGATCTCCTTTGTAATTGATGTAGCAAAATCTGATAGCTAGGCTTGGCAGTGCATGGTCGAAGAACTAGCCCTAAATGTACATCCAAGAGAAAGAACATGTTTCAATATTACAAATACAAATCCTAAAGAGGAAACCATTTACATGCAGCTGAAATATAACTTAAGGCACCTATTCTGGAATGGACATTTCTTTCATTCTTTTATTCACAAGGAAATGTTAATCCCTTTCAACTCTCAGTTGGACCTTGCCCTCTGTTTGCTTCAACAGTGCTCTTTTCCCATTGCCAACTCTATCTTTACAGCCAACCTCCACCCACCCACCCCCTCATTCCTGCAGGGAAGACATATTAATAATTCAACGTCTCTACAAAGGAGCTGTTCTTTGTTTAATAGATGTAGGAAAAGAAAAACTAATTTCAGAAGTTTCATTCACTCATTAAGCAAGAACTACTTTTTTTTTTTTTTTTAATTTGATTTATATGCCGCCCTTCTCCGAAGACTCAGGGCGGCTTACAATGTGCTCAGCAATAGTATACTTATATTCAACATCTCAGTTTCTTTCTCTTGTAGGTCCAGCTATTCCTGTTGGGGTGGATGTGCAGGTTGAAAATTTGGACAGTATTTCAGAAGTCAATATGGTACGCTACTTAATGTTAGATTTTTTATCCAAAACCAGATGTGACTTGAATTTTCCCACAGATTAAAGAAAATGTATTATTCCTCCTCCTCCTCCTCCTCCTCCATCTAGGGAGATGCAAAGTTCTGATTCTTGCTTTACTGGTGGCCTCAACCATTGTTATTTGATGCTTTGATATTGTCTCTCCATCTTCTTCTGGGTCTGGCTTGTGTTCTTGACCTTCTCCTCTTTTTGTATATGCCTTATATGGTATAGAACACCAAGACATATATATGTATGTTTAAATATTTATTGCACTAACTGATTTTTTGTGATGTAGCAATCAAAATAATATGTTGTCAATGGGATGACTGTTACAGATTTTCTTAAAAATGAAGCCTAGTTGAAGTTGAATAAAGCCTAATGTGTGAAGAAGTAATACTGAGAGATTGAAATTAAGAGGATGGTCTGTGCATCTGAGGATGCGGACCTAGGTCTCTCAGGAAACCTTGACCTATTTCTTGGCTTCAAATGTTTGCTTTTTTATTTTTAAAAGGAAATCAAGTTCTTGAAATGATTCTCCCAGGAACTAGTCACCATTTGTGCAAGAAATGCAATAATGGTTGGACTTGACAGATCATCCTAATGGTTTAATGTGTTCCCAGGCAACTAGCCTATTCAGTAAACCATCATTAAACCAACCATGCAATATGTGAATAAGGTAATATTATTATTTGGAGAGCATCTGGGATGCAACAGATGGCCACTGGGAGACAGCCTTCTTCACTGTGATGGGACGGTTCAATTTCTTCTGATTTTTTTCTGATAACTTAAAAAACCCACAATTATCAATTAATCTAGTTTTTTATAAGATCAAGAGATATAATCACAAGATATCTCCCACCACCCCACACTTTGTTTCAGGACTTTACAATGACACTGTATTTGAGACATTATTGGAAGGATGAGCGTCTCTCCTTTCCCAGTCGTACGAACAGGAGCATGACTTTTGATGGACGGTTGGTAAAGAAGATCTGGGTGCCAGACATTTTCTTTGTCCACTCTAAAAGATCCTTCATTCATGATACCACCACTGACAACATCATGTTGCGGGTGTTCCCAGATGGCCATGTGCTCTATAGCACGAGGTAATCCCACATTTCTACATGAACTACTCCATATTCTTCCTCCAGTATTGTAATTCAAGCAGATCTTTGTTGCATGGGCTGATTTCAAATATGAATATGTAGCTTCATATATTACCATATTTGTTCTGTCCTCATTACACTGTGTTAGTCTGTGTGCAACTTGACATGCAGCTAAACCCACCTATCCTCCAGTAAAATAGATTGTGTGCATAGATCTGAATGCTTTATTGAAAGAACAGGATATAGTGAAACTGGGGAAAATAGGGATACATACAATGAGAACCAAATACAAGATTACTGCTGAACATAAGAATTAATAAATACAAGCAAGTTAAATTTCACCAGCGATGCTCTGTGTGTGGGATATGGGTTTGTCCTTGGATGACCGTGTGCCACAGATTAAGATGGATTCTTCTTTGTGCTTCTGCCTTCTCCAAATGCTAAAGGAAATGGAGTCTGGCTTCCCAGCGTGCACTTGCTTTGAGAGTGCGGGCTGATGGATAATGGGGTGAGGTCAGCTTCAAACAATATACTTGGTATTTGTCTCTCCAGCCACTAGATGGGGCTAGACAGCAACAACAGTATATAAAAGTTATACAATTATCCTCCTTTGTGATAACATCAACTCTTATTTTTCTACATGGATTCATTCATATATTACTCTATTAATCCCATGCCTGTAGCTCTTTCTTTGTAATGACATCAACTCTTATTTTTTTATTTACTCTAGGATCACAGTGACGGCAATGTGCAATATGGACTTCAGCCGTTTCCCCCTAGATTCACAGACATGTTCATTGGAGCTTGAAAGCTGTCAGTAGCTTTTATTTATCTTTGGTGGTAAAACTACAGGGATAACAAATTAAACAGCAGACAATCTGTTGACTTTACTGATAGCCATTATTTCTGCTTGAGTTGGTTACTTCTCTGCTTTAAAGCAGAGCCAACTAAAATAAAACTAAACTAAACTAAACCTACAGTATCCATTCTTCTGCCTTTAAAATACACTATTTCCTCTGCCTTTTCATGTTCAAGGAGAGATAAAAAAAGATGTTTGTGGATGGTGGACTCACAGAGTGCTTTTTTTAAAAAAGGGGGGAGTGCATTGGGGAGATTATGTCCAGTAGATGAATAACTATAGATGGGACTCTGATTTTCTGGACTACTTTCTCTTTGGAGAACTACTTTTGTTTCTCTTAACTGCATGAAACCCATTTGAAGCTTTTAATGTAGTTTTCATTTATTTCCAACCTCTAAATTTAGAAAATCAGTATGCAGTGGGGTAGTCTGATGGGTTTTGGGGGAGTCACGAAACATAGGCCTCTGATTATTTGGCCTATTTCATAATTTTGCTGCTGACTGGTAAAATAATTATTTTGCTGTTTCTACATCTTACCTTTGCAGATGCATATACAGATGAAGATTTGATGTTATATTGGAAAAATGGGACCGAATCCCTAAAAACAGATGAAAAGATTTCCTTGTCTCAATTCTTGATTCAAAAATTTCACACAACCTCCAGACTTGCTTTCTATAGTAGTACTGGTATGCCAAGAACATTTTACCCCATTCTTTCATTCTTTATTAATTTTTTAACTGTATTTCCTTTGACAAACTCAGGCAGCCCACTTGGTCTTCCTGTACTCTTTTTAATTCTCCCAACTATCCTGTGCAGCATATAGTATTAGAGATAATTGAGATATTGAGTTTTTCAAAGTTTTTAAAGTGAGCTTCATTGCTAAGTACATATTAAAATCTTTGGTGCCAGTACAGAATTTTAAAAACCACATCACTGTGGCCTTGTGTTCTCTATTCATACAGTTGCTTGGTGAATGTAAATAAAGCATCTCATGTAAACCAGTGATTAACAAAGTATATTTAATCAAACATTAAAAAGCTTCTTTGCTATCTCATCTAATATAGCTGTAATAAGACTTCCTAACATTTTCTCATGTTATTTACAAAATGAGGTAGTTATTGTTAAAGTAGCATTTAAGATTTTTTAAAAATCAAATGCACTTTCTGTATAATTCAGGTTTCAGAACAAAAGTGCAAAAAGACAATAACTTTCTTGAGAAGACATCTCTCCAGATACTACAGAATTACAACTATCAATGCCTTCGCTATTGAACGGGACTTCCTTGTTTTTTCTTTGAAGACGTTTCGCTTTTCATCCAAGAAGTTTCTTCCGCTCTGACAGGATAATGGGGAATGGAAGGATCTATCCTGTCAGAGCTGAAGAAGCAAAACATCTTCAAAGAAAAACCAAGAAAATCCAGTTGCCACCTGAAAAAGCACCTTTGGGACAACTATGACCTGGATGACTGAGAATCTCTACAGACCTTCACTATTAAAGAACTTGCTGGGGCAGCTAGGCTGTGTACTTGCATTGTTTCCCTTTTTTTATGGAAGATACGTGGTTTATAATAATAAGATTAAGTTACTGTTTTTTCAGTGGTGTGTCTTCAGCATCATTGTACTGTTGTAAACAGCATAATTGTTACAAGGACAAACACAGTACTTAAATTCTCTCCTTCTCCCTTCCCCCCCCCTTATATCTCTTGACACACACACACACACAGTCTATCAGCATTTTTATTTTCTTCTTTTTGTATTCTTTCAATCTATTTATTTTTTCCTCCGTCCCCTCCCCTCCCCTCCCTTTCTTTATATTTTATCTGTGCGGCATATAAGGTGCCTTTTCTATTGACTGTTCGTGTTTCTGCTCACTTCACATTTTAACATTTTTCTTCAATAGGTCGGTACAACCGCCTTTACATTAACTTTATTCTACATCGCCATATTTTCTTCTTTCTGCTCCAAACATATTTTCCTGCCACGTTGATGGTCATGTTATCCTGGGTTTCCTTCTGGATAGACCATAGAGCTGTGCCTGCAAGAGTGTCATTAGGTGAGGGGTTCCTGTCTAGACACATAAGATATGGCATGACTGTTTCTTACAACATATCTCATTTATATGCATTCGTTTTGATTTCTATGTCTAAGATTTCTATTCTAAAAGTAAAATAGGGCAAAGAATGCAAAAGGTATATATTTTGCTTTGTCTTCACAGAAATAAAGATATATCTTAGAAATTAATCTTTTATAGATTAGTGTTAGCTATAAAATGTTTATTTTATTCAGTTAGATTTAATTAGGTTAATTAATTAGATTTATATGACTGCCTATGTCACCAGAGTGACTTAGTGAATAACAACAAATAAAAGCACATACAAAATAACAACCGATATATAAAAGCACCAAAGTAAAAACAAATTAATAAACTTCCAGGCCCAGGAACACCTCCAGGCCTGGGAAGCTTCTCAGAAAATGAGCAGAGTTGGGATCAATCTTCTCATGGTGTCCCTTTTTCCCCCAAAATAATTTTATTAAATATTATAATTACAATAGTAAAAACTAATACAGAGTAAAAAATAGAATAAGAGGTGCAAAGAAAAAAAGAAAAGATGGAAATAATAAAAATTGAAGAATATAGTAAAGAAAAAGAAACAAAACATATAAAGAAATGATTTCCAACATTCAGTCACAAGTATAAGCAATTTTAATAATTTTCACTTTCTCTTAAATTATAACGATATCTTCTTCCCATATCCCATCTCTTGTCTATAAAACAAATCCATAAAGCATAGTTATTTTAGTTTTTGTGTCAGCAGAAGTCCATTAAGGGTTACCAGAAATAAATAATCTATTTTAACCTTGATGAAATAAACCAGTTATATTCCTTAATCTTTAGTGCATTCAAATAACATCATAGAACTTGTTTTCTTTTCATTTTTTTCTTTGTCCCTTCAAAACTTTAACATGTCTCTTTTGTAAGACCAATATAATAAAAATATCCAAGTCAATTCTCTTGGCTTGTTGTTTATATGCAATTTTAATTGTTAAAATATCAGTCCGTTTCCTTTGTATGTCCACAGCAACATCTTTTTCAGTAGTACAGTATAGTTTTCTAGCCTGTCATTTGTCATTTGTAAATCCACTTTCAACTCTGTCTTGTAGGTAAAACCTATTTCTCTTTCATAATATCTTTTAGATACAGTCTAACTATGGAGGCTGTTGTCATTGTTAATATTAATTTCTAGTTCCATTTTTCAAAAATGTCCAATATTTCCAGTGTTAGAATATTTTATGCCATTCTGTAACACTTAGTCAAGTTTGTGTTCTTCTCTTTTAACTGAAATCTGTAGTTCCCTTTAGTATCCAATTTTTGAAATGTTAATTTTTTTTAAAAAAAAAAATCAAAACAAAAGCATTTTTCAACAGGAAAATTAATTATAATTAATTCCAAAATCTTATTTGAAATTTATATTGACCCTTATTCATCTGTAGCTTTCTAAAATCAAAATTTTTTTTGCTGTTTTTTTGTTTTTTTAAAATTAAGCTTGTACAGATAGTCCTTGAGTTACAATCCTAGTGGGACTTGTTCATTTGGGTCATAAATCTTGTAAATCTGTTGTAAAATGAATCACTTATTTTAATGACAGTTTTTTACTATGCTCGTTAAGCAAATCAACCGGGACGTTAAGTGAAGGAAGATCAGATGTGCTATTCACTTCTTTTTGTGAAGTGACCTCTGCGATTGTTAAGCGAACCCACAAAGTCGAGAATTTGTAGGGCTCCCCAGTGAAGGATCCAGAAGGAACTGCTGCCATCCATTCATCAGCTCTTCTGGCAAGGCGAGTTGGCCCTCTGCCTCCAAACTGCAGCATTTCCATGCAAGTGCCTGGACTTAAATTGGGGTGGGGGATAAATTTGCAGGGCTCCCATGGAGCCTCCAGAGGGAACCACTGCTCCCCGCCCATCAGCTGTTCTATAAGCAATTCACAGTAGTACTGTACACACCAAGCCTCTAAGCAAAAGCAAGGAAACACAGTACAGTAGAACGCAAAGAAACTTTCTGCAAGCAATCTCAAAACACATGCAAACAAATACAGTATAGTATGCAAAGAAACTTTACTCAATGTACTTTCTGTAGATGCTGGCTAGTATTTCCACAAGCAATTTCAAGAAATGAAGGGGAAAAAAACTCTTGTAAAGTATTTACAAACAAGTACAGTATTATAATGAAAAAAGAAAAGTACTCACAAAGGCAACTGTTATCCTCCAATCCTCAAGGCAACAGCAACAAGAGCAGTAATGAGAGACATACTCCTCTACATGGTATCAATGAGAAAGGGTGGGGGGGGAAGCATGCTGGCTGCAAAGTTCCTGATCTTGATTGGTCATGTGTTGGAAAAAAATGTGCTTGACTACAAGGACCTTGGAAATCGTGTCATAACTGCAGGCAACTTCTGAATCCCCAAAAGGGAGGTCACACGTCGAAAAATGGCTGCCTCTTCAGGAGTCACTATATCCAGGTCACATGACTGCAGAGGTCTCTTGTTGGTTGAAATTTTGAATCTCTATTATAAATACACTTTGCGAGTACATTTGTAACTTTGAACAGTTGTTAAACAGCCTGTTGTACCTGAAGGACTACCTGTAGTTAAAACTTCTTTTTGTTAAGGCAACACCCCCACCCTCCTGTGCTTTCAAATTTATTAATCCAAAGGTTTCTAATAGCTGAAAAAACAAGCTATTTCTAAAAGTGATTATAAAAGTATGCAAATTTAATGTCCTTTCAAAGGTGCCAACTGGTTTGAGTAGGATGACTGGTCCTTTCTCTGCCAAAGACTGCTGTCTTGTAACCATTTGTAAAGCAAATGGTCCTTGTTAGCAATAGATGAGATTTTTTGTAAAAAAAAATAAAAATCTGGCAAGCAACAGAGCCTAGGATCTCAGAAGTCTCAGTTATTGGATACTTAACAGGTAATGCCTAGGGATGGTAGTTACTGCCTGATGATAGTTATTCAGTATAAGCTCAAGAGGTTTGCATTTTTACTATCATTTCCACAAAGACTTTGAAATTAACTGTATCTGGTTATTAGGCTTGATTGATAAGCTTGTTGCTTGACTTGTGTTAATGCCATCTTTGTACATGTGGCTTCTTCAGGAATCACAATAGTCCTGACCATGTCTACCATCATCACTGGTGTCAATGCCTCCATGCCTGGCGTTTCCTATATCAAGGCTGTGGACATTTACCTCTGGGTCAGTTTTGTGTTTGTCTTCCTCTCGGTCATTGAATATGCAGCGGTGAACTACCTGGCAACAGTGCAAGAGCGAAAGGAGCAAGAAAAGGTGAGAAATGCTTACCAAGTGCCTGGGTTTATGACTATATTTGAGCAGCCTTCTCCAACCCAGCTGGCCCTGTTGGGGAAATCCATAGTAGAAATTTCTGATGTACATACAGGTAGTCCTCACTTAAGGGCCACAGTTGGGACCAGCCACCTCATTGTTAAGCAACACAGTAGTTAAGCTAGACAACACTACTGTAAACTATATTTCCATCACGTGTCAACCCTGAAGCCATTTTGGGAGCATCTTCAGGGCTGCCATAGCTATGCTGGTTGAAGCTGTGGGAACAGGAAGTGGATGTATAGATGACTGGGGACATAGCTAAAATAAAATTCTCCTGGGAATCAAGGACGTTCTCACTAGGTGCTGGGGAGGCATGGACTGAAACCAGGTGGGGTTGGGGATGTGATCGGATTGGATTGTGCAATGGACATGTGGATTGGGGAAATGACTTAATTTGGGTGGGAAAACTGTGGGACCTTTAGAGTTGGGTTTTCACCAGATGTGCCAATATGACATACCTAATAAATCTGTACTTTGAGGAACACCTAGGCCTCAGAGGTTTGATTGCGTTGGGTCTGTTACTTGGAACCCTGACACCATGGTCATTATGAAAATTATCCATCATCATTAAACTCAACATAGCAGGGCCCAACTTGTGATTTTATAGCTGGCTTCTCCATTGACTCTGCTTGTCGGAATCCAACTGTGAAATATGAGTAGATATTACAAAAGTAGGAATTTCATAACAGTAGGAGTAACAGAGGCAAATAAACTCCTAAGAATTGAACTGGTTAAGTCTGGGACTTTAGCAGAAACAGTTTTGGAGATTAAGAATGGGGAAATTCAATATGATATTTCCCTAGTTTTACTCTATATTTATTTCAGTCACAGCTGATGGATGGCCAGGAAGCTGTGACTAAACTGACAGGAAAACAAAGCCAATTTCCATGCACAGAATGTACCTATACAGGATGCTTGATGTCATCTGTATGAGATGATATGTTACCCTATTAGTGCTGTTGATGTTATTGTTTTAAGTTGCATAATAGCTGATACAAGCAAAGTTTATTTATATTTAAAATATTTTTTTTCTTAAATGTATAACCAGTTTCCCCAATAAAATGGTAATTTTAATTGTCCAGGGAATGGCAGACTAGAAAGCATTTGAGAATCCTATGGTAGGTAAAAGATCTCAATGGGTATATTTGTGAAAGGGCAAGTTCCACAAATCTCAAACCTCAGATCCGATCCTCAAGAGGAGAAACAGCCCCAACAACAATGATTTTTACCATGCAATCCAGATGGATACTCTTCCATTAGAACTGCTTTCTGGTGAAGTCTATAAAATGAAACGCATATGGACATTTGAGCTGATGAAGCCATTTTAATCACTTCAATGAACAAATAAATATGATACTTAGAAATATGAATCTTTGTCTCTATCATTCAAAGTTTTCTCTGTTCTGTTTTGGAAACATACCATCAATATTATCTCAAGTATTTTTCTCAAAACAATTGTAACTCAAATGCAAGTCTAAATTTCTTAAGGAATTCAAGATTAATTTTTTTGCACTTAATGCGACTATTAACAATTAATTTTAAGTTTTCTGGTTAACACTGATGGCATTTCATATATAGTAAAATGGTAATCCCATATATTGAGATTCTGTCTTAGTAATAATTTTGAAAAACAAAAGATCATGATTTATATTTAGGGTTATTTTTCTATTGAGTAGAAGAGCATAGTCTGCTGGTTGTTTAGCTTTAACAGAATAGTCCTGAGTGGAAGAAGGATGTAAGGTAACCATTCTTGTCATTTCTCCTTTACTGTCACAAACCAATTCCTAAACCTGCGGAGAAGATTTGGGAGACAGATACAGGCTGCAGATAGAAAAAGAGATAGTGAAAAAAATAATTTGACCATTTCATTTTATGAATTCCGTTTGGTGGATTGTGGATTCAACCAAAGTTTAAAAGAACTTGCAAATACAAGAGTACCAAAATTTCATATGAAACTGCAGTGCAATCTTTGTCTTCCGTTTGATTCATATTGTAGTTACATTTTCCTTCTCCTTTATTGTTTTATTTTCCCAGTTTCCATGCATGGGTGGAATTTCTACAAAAGGAATGACAATAGATGGCATATACAGTGAGTTGGATGTTTGTAGCCCAGAAGGAGATCCCAAAAATCAAATAGTATCTGAGGTAACTGAGGAGGATAAACAAGAGAAGATGGTGATCCATTTGACTATGAGTAATGAGTCTAACTCATCAAAGAAGAAAGGGCTCAAAGAGCATGTTAGCCTACGTATTATCCAGAACACTCATGCAATTGACAAATATTCAAGGTTAATATTTCCAGGCACCTATATATTTTTTAACATAGTATACTGGTCTGTCTTCTGCTGAACATGCTGTAGCTCTCATTAACTCAGGAGATATGTAGAAGATTCCGGTAATAAAATTTTGGATTCCAAGTGAGAAAATAATCCATCCTGTATCGGCTGTGGCGCATGGAAACACTGGATATTTTTCTAAGAAACATTTTATACAATGGTATTGGAGATGATTGACTCAAGCTGGATACTTTCTGCTCTCTGACCAGTTTGCTTTTCATATGTGAAAATATGCAGCTGTTGAACTTTAGTCTCAGCCATTGCAGTGTCATCATAGTAGGCATAAAGGCTATACTTATAAAAGTGGCTAGGAATCTGCTCTGTGATCTTTATTGAGACAGTTGGAGAAAGATAAATCTGTCAGCCAGCACAATGATGCGGTCCATCTTTATCATAAGGGATTGTTGGCACCCCTTATGAAATTTCTTTTGTTAAGAAGCAGGCGCTGTGAAGCAGTCCCCAAGCTAGATTGACAGGTTAGAATGCATCTGGATACATGCAAGGATCTTGGAAAGGACTGCCCTTATCAGGATCATGCACTTACAAATTTTTCTCAAAAATACATTGATTTTTGATTCAATGTATTTGATTTTCATTATCCTCAACTCAAATTATCCTCAAATTTAACTAAACTGAGCAGTTGATAAGTTAAAAGAACGAAGAAGACGTGTGCTTAAATATTAAATATACTTCTAAAGAATGCCTTCAGAAGCAAGTTCTTTGCACTATTCTAGATATCTTTCTTCACCTCGGGCTGTTGCATTTACTGGTCCATGCAAGTATTCTGAATGAAATATACAGGTAGCCCTCATTTAGCAAGTGCTTTATTTAGCAACCATTCATGGTTACCACAGTGATGAAAAAGTTTGCAATCAATCCCCACATTGATGACCTTCACAGGTTTGTAAAGCGAAGGAAAGTTGAAGTAATATCATAAGGACAGTGGCAGTTTCACTTAGCAACCACTATGCTGAACAACCTTGTTGCCAGGCTCAGTTTGTGGTTGCAAAATGAGGACTACTTGTATGTCTGGTGTTCTGTAATCACTTTCAGTGATGTTGAAGGAACCACTAGGCTTCAGTATCTGGAAGCAGCATAGGGCTAGCCCAAGACATTTTGCTGCTGAAATGAAGTGTCCTCTCTCTTCCTCATATGGAAATTGATGGGACTGGTAGTTTTATGATACCTTTAGCCTTCTACCCTTTATCTTAGGCAGATAACATCTGTGACCTCCTGGAGCAAGTTTTTATTCTTGCTGTTTAAAATTTGTCTATAAAGAAGCATAGTTACTTGTTCTTTATAATTCTGTTTCCTCCTTTGCATGTAGAATATGTACTATTTTATAAATCTTTTCAGTAGTTACTTGATAAAATGCTAGTATCCTTTCTGAAAGTAGGATTACCAGGCATTATAAATAGTTTATTTTGCAGTAACAAAACTACATTTTCAAGCTGCGTCACTCATGTTTTACTTATTTAGATCAGTGAACAATAGAAAAATGAATCTGAAACTCAAGTCTGATTTTTTTAAAATGAAGAATCAGAAGAGAACATTCCAGACTGAATTCACAGGATATCCCATCCTTGGCAGGCTGGCAGGGCAGAAATGAGGTTAGGGAACCTTTAGGGTCTCTCTGCTGTTTCCCATCAATCTAAATTTTCTTGTCCTTTCTGTCCATTATGAGCAATAGGAGGGAATAGATTCAGACTAATAAGCCATTGTTTATTTTCAGTTCCTTCTTCAAATGGGCAAGAGGAGCAAATGGAAATGGCAATGGTAAAATGCCATGGAATAACAAATGGCCAACAATAAATTTGTAACATATGGAGAGTCTAGTCCACAGTTTATTCTTTCTTTCTGTGCATACATGGCAACATAAATGACAATTCTTGCATTTGACGAACAGAGGGAAGATCCTTTCAACAAATACTGCCTGACTAATCTACCGTAAATTTCACTCCTCAAATCTGCTTCTTCAAATCATGAGAGAGACAACATATATGAATCCCTCAGAGGATTTCAGAACAATCTGCCATGGTGCTGTTGCCATTTTTTCAAATCTCCCTGATCACGCAATTATTACATAGATATAAAAGGGTGTGGAGAAGTGGCCCCCCTTTTGTAAGGTAAGGTTTCCCTCGCATATATGTGCTAGTTGTCCCTGACTCTAGGGGGCAGTGCTCATCTCCGTTTCAAAGCCGAAGAGCCAGCGCTGTCGGAAGACATCTCCGTGGTCATGTGGCCAGCATGACTAAACTCCAAAGGCGCACGGAACGCTGTTACCTTCCCACCAAAAATCCCTATTTTTCTACTTGAATTTTTTACGTGCTTATGAACTGCTAGGTTGGTAGAAGCTGGGACAAGTAATGGGAACTCACCCCGTTACGCGGCACTAGAGATTCGAACCGCTGAACTGCCGACCTTTTGATCAAAAAGCTCAGTGTCTTAGCCACTGAGCCACCACGTCCCTTTTTCCTTCTCCTATACCCTTGTCCTATATATAACCATTAACTGGTTAAGAACATAATCAAGAAATTGGATGCCTTCATTTTACAGGTATGTTTCCCCTCAGGGCAGAGAGAAGTTCTGAATGAAGGATGATTCAAGTAAAAGCATATATCCACCATCTGCCCTTTCCACACTGTGTTGGATACAGATCTCCACAATTACTCTTACGCTATAGGAAATGCGATTTCTGTGATGACATCTTCCAGTGCACATCCTATGTGGGGACTGAGAAGTTGCGATGTTAATTCCCATTTGAAAGTCGAATCCTCCAACTGGGAAATCTGAATTCTAACTAGTCCTAAGAAAAAATGGCTACAATATGATAGGAGAAGAACTCTGCATGTCTTCCAACCCATTAATTCTCAGTGGCCTCCATGAGATGAATGGTGCTCTGGGACAGATTGCATAAGTTGGGAACATGTACTTCTTAAATGTACCAGCTTAGTCTCTGAAACTCGAGCATTGCAGTGATACAATTTTATAAGAAGAGACAGGTAATGGTGTAGTTTTTATTGTGAACCAGACTTGTGCTCTAAAGTACAAATATTTTAAACAAGTAATTGAGAAATGAAGTTTTTGTGGTGGTTATCGCATTTTTGTTTTGAGAGAAGAGATTCCCCCCCACCAAAAGAGGTCTATAAAGAACCAGTTTGGTTTAGTGGTTAAGGCACCAAGCTAGAAAGTGGTCCATGAGTTCTAGTTCCACCTTAGCCATGAAAGCCACTGGGTGACTTTGGGCCAGTTATGCTCTCTCAGCCAACCCACTTCACAGGGCTGTTGTTATGGGGAAAATAGAAGGAAGGTGTGTTGGGTACAGGGTGGATAAAAATGATTTTTTTGATTTAAATCGGATTTTTTTGATTTAAATCGGATTTTTTTGATTTAAATCGGATTTTTTTGATTTTTATCGAATTTATTTTAATAAAAATCTTTTGGGGTAAAAATATAGAGGCTGTATATTCTGCAACACTGGGACTATCAGTGAGTCAACAGTGGATCAAAGGAGTAGCAGAGATGACAGTTGCTCTTTAAAAATTATGATTTAAATCGAGTTGATTTAAATCAAGCTTTTTTACTAGTAATTTAAATCATGATTTAAATTGTGATTTAAATCAACTCGATTTAAATCAAATCCACCCTGGTTGGGTATGTTCACCACCTTGAGATATTTGTAAAAGTAATAATGGTAAATAAATAAGCAAATTAATACAGGTGTACCGAAGGTTTAAAAGTTTTAAAATGCTCCCCCTCCTCAGTAACTGACTGCACCTTCTTGGGATCGTATGCGCTGCAAAAATGAAGTCGGGGGGGGGGGCAGTGATGAAATTCTTTTTTTTTTTACTACCGTGGCAGGGAAAGGATACTGTAAAATCTCCATTCCCTCCCTACTCCTGGAGGAAGGATATTTCAAAATCTCCATTCCCACCCCACTCGGGGGCCAGCCAGAGGTGGTATTTGCCAGTTCTCCAAACTACTCAAAATTTCCGCTACCAGTTCTCCAGAACCTGTCAGAAGTTGGGCCAGCAATTGAATGTTGTTGTAGTTTAAAATTTACTTAAAACTGAGTTTTTGTTTCAAGACAATTAAAAAAAAACCAATCAGGTTTGTGTTCTTTGCACAACAGTACATGCATTATTGAATGTACCTTGATTCTGAATTCCTTGGTTTCAAAAATTGCTTCAGGTAGCCACTGCTTCCCCTCCAGTGTGACTGGAGAACTCTGAGTCTTGCGGTCTCAAGATATAACTTTGCAGTACTGGAACTGAGTCTTTTAAGAAAGTAGAATAAGGATTATTGATTAAAAGCCACAAATCCTGTGCCCCTAATTCTTTGCACATTAAAAACAAGTATATTGGAGAGTAGCAGAGTTGTAGGAACTCAACAAAAATCTAACAATAACTTTTGAAGTGTAACTTAGAACATGTCTGGAACAGGGGTGGGTTTTACTTAACTTTACTACTGGTTCGCAACGGGACCATGCTTGTACGCTCGCTTCGCTCATGGGCTTCTGCGCATGCACAGAAGCTTCCTGATGACATCCGGGTCAGTGGGCATAGCCTCCCGCAGGTTTTACCACCAGTTCTTGCGAACCAGTTCGAACCGGGGGCAACCCACCACTAGTCTGGAAGATAGAAACTATCCAGCCCAAAAATGTTTCAATCCAGAAAAGTCAGCCTGGGCTCTTCTGGTTCCATGTCAAAATGCCTTGTTCAAATTAAACCCTCACCAACTGTTTTGCATCAGCTGAATTTAAATGTGCATTTTATATTACATGAAAAAAAAATTAAGAGTAATTTGGGTATGAAACCTGCAATTTCAAGTTTATTCCACAAGGGGGAAATAAATCCACATTTGTTTTCCTTTCAGTCTTTAAACTTATTGTTTGTTATAGTACTCCCAGCAGAAATCAATCTTCCAGCAAGACTCAAGATGACTTATAAAAGGTTATTCAGACCTCTGCAGCTGATTTATTTAGCTTTAAAAAGACTACTTCACTCAAAGATTTTTCAGCTATTATTAAATCAGAGATTTTTCAGCTAAAGTAATTTCTCCCACCTCTGTGCAAGACTGGCAGTTGTGGCTTAGCATGTTGGGTGTTCCCAGCCACCATGGTTTAAAAGCCATGGTTTAGAGATGCTGTTAAAAACAAGACACCTCTAATATGGCAGCAAAGAGTGAGTGTTTTCTGTCTCTTTCCTGCCATCTAGCATCCAGATGTTTACCGTCAAGATATACTACCCTGTTTCCCCCAAAATAAGACATCCCCTGATAATAAGTTGAATAGGCTTATTGAGTGCATGGCAATAAGGCCAAGCGCTTATTTCAGGGTTCAAAAAAATATAAGACAGGGTCTTATTTTCGGGAAAACATGGTAATCCTCTTAACTGTAGGTAGTTCTCAAGTTACGACCACAATTGAGCCCCAAATTTACCTTGCTAAGTGGAACATTTGTTAAGTGAGTTGGCCCCATTTTACGACTTTTCTTGCCACAGTTAAATGAATCAATGCATTTGTTAAATTAGTAACACGGTTGTTAAGTGAATCTGGATTCCCCATTGACTTTGCTTCTCAGAAGGTCACAAAAAGGGATCACATGTCCTGGGACACTGTAACGGTCATAAATATGAACTAGTTGCCAAGCATCTGAATTCTGATCATGTGACCATGGGAAACTGCAATGGTCTCAAGTGTGAAAAATGGTCATAAGTCACTTTCTTTAGTGCCGTTGTAACTGAACGGTCACTAAATGAACTGTTGTAAGTCAAGGACTATCTGTATTGCATAGTTCAGCTAATAACGGCTTCTGATCATAAAGCAACTGAGGACACTGTATTAAACCCACCAAATCTGCTAACCCTTCAATGGTTTCCAATGATATTTCTGGATGGGTAAATACACAACTCAAGATGTACAAATTTTAATTAATCCATTTTGCTTTACTTCCTGGAATGACAGCAATTCCCAGACTGGATGGCAGTGAACTGGAAACGAAGTGATCAGGAGATCTCTCTAATGCCTTATTGAACCTGTAAAAAAGACATCTTGCTTCTAATAGTACCAAGCGACTTGTACACCAAGTTCTTTTCTCTGATTCTTCTTGGAATGCTCATGTGACCATGCAATCTCACAGAAATCCACACTAGGTTAACATAATCTTAAATCTGGATTTAAAACCCCCAATTTATTAAAGCCTAAAGATTTGTTGGCACATAATATTGAGCCATAATGATAGGAGCAGCTGACACAGAAACAAGAAAACCACATTATGAATTAGCAACCCTTTTACTTTTCTCATTGAACTAACCATGCATGTCAACATTCAATGACAATCGTTTTCATAGCAAACATTTCAGGGCGCCAACTTGGCTAATAGTGTTTAGTATTCTGTCTCTAGAGCTCTTACTCAAAACACAAATGATGAGGCTGAAATTACTGAACTTGGATATATTAAGCAGAGTTCTAGTTCTCCGGAGCTGCTGGGAAAGATGGAAGAAAATGATTAGCAACAAGATGGTCGGACTTGATTACAGCATAATGGATGCATCTAAAGGACCTGGTTGAGAAGAGATCATCCTGGGCAAAATGTATCTGTGTGGTAGATAAGAATTAACCCCATCTTGATAGCACATAATGAGTCAGTCAGTTTCCAGATGGCCCTTTGTCCTGCTTACAGAGCCTCAAATTTAGGCTCTTGCTATTTATTTTTTTAATTAAAATTTCAAATTATATTTCATTTGGTTTTATATTCTTGGTATTTCTATTTTTTATTATCGGTACGGTAGGTGTTCTGCCCCAGCTCCGGATCCCAAGGAGTGTGACACACACAAAGCTCCAAAAACTCAGTTTAATACAAACAGACCCCTTCCAAAATGCAGGCTTCCAGTGCAAATGTCCTTATCAGCCTGCTATGAATTACAGAGAATAAACAAAGTCCGACAAGAGTTGGCAACCAGCCCAGAAACCAAGATATAACAAGAAACTCTCTCTCAAAATGCTCTGCATAGAAATTAAACATTGTTTCCAGCAGCGTGTGCTATCTGTGAGCGAACTTAAATAGGCTAAGGGAGTGGCCAATTAGCCCCAAGCCTTACTCTCGAGGAGACCTCCTCCTGAGTAGCCACTCCTGCCTTTTGGCAGCCCTGCGTGCTCGAGCATTGAGAAGAGGCTTCTCCACTTCACTCTCTTCACTTGAAGGAGCCTCTGGAGGTTCTGAAGGCCCTGACTGAGTCTCTGCCTCTGGCACCACATCCTCTTCAGCCTCCTCACTGTCCAACTCAAGCGCCAGCTGCACAGGCTGCCTGCGTGACACCACATCAGCCTCCTTGTCATCAGGATCAGCCACAATCCATGCAGGCCGCTGGCGGGCCACAACAGGTAGGTATCGCAAAAACCTGAAAGCACTTTCAACCTTTCATCACTTACCACTCTAAAATTTAGCGTGAACAAACAGCCCAGAAGTTTCATGGCAAGAAGGGGGCTTTACTGTTTCAATTCAAAAACTGAATTGGCTATGCAAGCTATTACGTTGGGGACTATGAGCTAAAAGAAAATATAATAACATAAAGAACAATAAGAGTCAGTTTGGTCTAGTGGTTAAGACAGATTAGATACCAGGAGACTCTGAGTTTTAGTCCCTCCTTAGGCATGAAAGCTGGCTGGGTGACTCTGGGCCAGACATTCTCTCAGCCCAACCCACTACAGGGTTGTTGTGGGAAAAAATAGGAGGAGGAAGGAGCATTATGTATGTTCGCTGCCTTGAGTTGTTTATAAAATAGTAAAGGGGGAATAACCTTTTTAAATTAATCATTCAGAAACCTTTTCCAAAAACTCAGGCTTGACAGCACTTAGCCAGGAATGACCAAAAGGTATGGTTAAAAAAAAAAGTCAAGATGACAGCCACAGTGATACAATCAAACCTCTACCTATTCTTATAAAAATATGTGACACAACTGACTCTGGAACTTTGATCACATTATTATGGCCATCATCTTAACTTTTATTTAATCATAGCCTGCAAACACCACTGTACTTACCACATCATTTAAGGGACGCTGTGGCTCAGTGGCTAAGA